CCAGTGCACATTCCCCACCACCAATATCCCCAGTGTACTCCCCCTTTCTCACCCTACCCCTGCCTCCATGGCAGACATGATTCACCATAATCTCTCTCTACTTTTGGCAATTGTGGTTTGCAATACAGACACTGAGAGGTTATAATGTTTGGTCCTTTATCCACTTTCTGCACACATATCCCATCCCAACTGATTCCTCCAGTCATCTGTTTCTTAGCGATTCCTTCTCTATTCCAGCCGCCTTCTCCCCTTTGCTCATGAGGCAGGCTTCCAGCTATGGAGCAATATATCTGTCCCGTGGATCTACTATCCTTAGGTGTCAGCCTCATGTTATATTATTTTATACTCCAAAAATGAGTGCAGTCCTTCTATGTCTGCCCACCTCTTTCTAACACATTTCACTTAGCATGATACTTTCCATGTCTGTCCATTTATAAGCAAAGTTCATGACTTCATCTCTCCTGGAAACTGCATAGTATTCCATTGTGTAGATGTACCAAAGTTTCTTTAACCAGTCATCTGTTCTAGGGCACTTGGGTTGTTAGGGTGCAGTTGATTCCTGGGGGATGAACCACCTTAGAGAGCTGGAACCTTCATTCACTGGAGGGGCAGAAGGGATGGAGGTCACCTCAATCCCCGTGTCAGGAATTCTCTGCCAAGACCTCAAAAGGCGGGTGCCAGAATGATATCACCTATATGTGGTATTAGAATAAGTGTATGAGGGAATGCAATGTTTTAAAGAAGGCTGCCTAGATCAACCTTGGCTCCAGAGTGTAGAAAGGAAAAGGAAAGAAAGAGTGGAGGGATGGAGGGGTGGGGGATAAAAGACAGATGAGAAGCATCGGGGGCCAGGTCGAGACAGGTACAAAGTTGGTGCTAAGAAATGTTAGAGTCAAATATCCAAACCACAGAGTCAACAACACTGAAATCAAGAGACCAAAACTCTAACACCCAAACTTAGGAAGGGGCCTGTCCAGAGGGCAGCTGGAGGGGGAGCAATATGGGAAAGAACCTGGGAACATCGTGGAGGGAAGTTGACACTGGTGAGGGGAGCAGTGCTGCAAAACTCTATGTCTAAAACTCAACTATAAATTACTTTGTAAATGACAGTACTTTAATTTAAAAAAAAAAAGGGTGAGGAATCAATGCTACTGTGAACTTCCATGCTGGACCCCAAGATCATAAGAACAAACACTCCTTTGAAACCTTGCCCGATTGTGAGTCTCCATCTAGCTGTTAATTCATATTCTTTACTATGCTAATAGTAAATTTGTAGTTTAATAAAATAGTAAATTTATAGTTTCATAAAATATATTGTAAGACATCAGCAGCCTAGTGAATACAGATTTCCTGAGTTTTGTGAGCTATTCTAACCAAACAACAAACCCAGTTTCTGTAACCTCTGATTTATAGTCAGACTACGTATAGTCTGATTCATAGTGTGCAGCAGGCCTCTGATGTTGAGGGCAGTCTCATGGGGCTGGGTCCCTTCATGTTGGAAATGTATGCTGTATCCAGATGGGGCTGGAGCGATAGCACAGCGGGTAGGGCGTTTGCCTTACAAGCGGCCAACATGGCCGACCCGAGTTCGATTCCTCCGCCCCTCTCGGAGAGCCCGGCAAGCTACCGAGAGTTTCGATATGCCAGACACAGTAACAACAAAGTCTCCAATGGAGATGTTACTGGGCCTGCTCGAGCAAATCGACGATCAACGGGAGGGCCTTTACCTTTACCTATCCAGATGGCTCATATAAGAACTAAATTCTCTTTTCTTTTCAATGCTGGGATGGAAACCAGAGCCTCACACATGAAAGGCAAGAGTTCTATTGTTGAGCTACACCCTGGCACTGAGTTGAATTTGGACACCCTGCACTGAGAATTACTTGTTGGTGTGGGAAAATCTAGTAACGTAGACATGGACACAAACACACCCACCTGGGGTATGGCTGTTCCATAACTCATCAGCTGAAGGCTTCCTAGATGCAGTTAGTGTTTCATCTATACATGTCTGTCTGCCTTTGCTAAGAGCCTTTGCTTAGAGTTCCTGTCTATTTATATCAGACTGATTTACCCACTGTCAGTGATCAGCCTGTAGCTCCCAGAGGGGTTAAATCTCTGGGATCCAACGAATAGATCTCTGGTAGAGGGATTCTGCTGAGTCATTCATTTGCCCATGACTCCTCTGGGGGCCTAGGCCTCAGAGTCCACACAGAGCACACTCCACAGAACACCCTTGAACACTCCACATCTGCCCTAGAGCAGATGACTGGTTAAAGAAACTTTGGTACATCTACACAATGGAATACTATACAGCTGCCTTGAATCCTATCCCCAAGAGTGGTCTAGAGCCCAGTGGCCTTGTCAGCACAAGGGGAGTAGGTTGTAAAGGAAAGAAAGGGAGATGACAAGAAGAGGGACATTCACTGGAAATGACATGACCATTCTCTCTCTGGAGGATGGAAGGCCCTATAGAAGAAAAACAATGTGTTATGTTCCTTTGTAGACAGAGGATTTTCGTATGAATTCTCTCCTTTTGGCAGGGTTTGGGGGATGGGGGTTGAGCCAGAGCCATTGTTGCTCAGGACGTACTCCTGGATCTTCACTCAGGGATCACTCTTGGTGGTGCTTGGGAGACCCTATGCAGTGCCAGATTGAACCAGGGTCAGCCACAAGCAAGGCAAGTTTCTTACGCCCATCTACTATTTCTCTGAGTCCCCTGAGTTCTCCCTTTCAATCCTCGCAACAACTCTGTGGGGCAGTGATTATTATTCCCATTTTAACGATAAGGACACAGGGCTCAGAATTCTGAGGAAACTCTTAATCTAGGAGTAACGCCATGAAATCATGAGAGTGGCTTGTACAGGCTGTCCAAGTCCAGGCTTTTATTATGGTGCTGTAAGTTTTTATGAGGCCAATAAAAAAGAGCATAAATATATTTGTTCCCAGCCTCTCTGTTGTATCTTTATGACTCCAACCTCATATTTGCCACAACTGGTGCTACCTGTTGTCACAATTCAGTACTGGGGCAATAAAGATGACCTGCCATTTAGTTTCCAGTGTAGAAACACCCAGGATTTACAGAACCAGTATTATGCCCCAAGCAACTAAACAATGACTCAGCTCTGTATTCTCTAAGTGCAGGTATTTTTACTAACTGATAAACCTGATATGGAAATGCCACAGGGCTTAGTCACATTCATGAAGACAGTGTTCAGGCCAGCTTGTGAGCGGACAGCATGTCTCCCCATCTTAGAACTTCCAGAGGGTAGAGTGGGTCTGAGGTGCTGAGAGATGCAAGTCTGACTGGGCAGGGATGGAACACAAAAGGGGCTGTTGTGGGGGTCCTGCGGAGACCTCAGGTGGGTGGGGAAAGCTGAGAGGCCAGGAGCAGGTGACGAGTGCTGTTGGAGTCTCCAACCCCAGGTGCTGGACCAGCTGCCACCCTGATTTCATTAGGTCAGAGCAGCCCTCACACCCATGTTTCTCTTACTGGCCTCTCCTCTTGACAAGGTTTCAGCCATAAAACATGGTGCCAGGATTCCACCCCTGCCATCGAATGACAGAAACAAACCATGGATGAATTGACACTCTTATAGCCTAGCAGCCACACTTAACTGGCTGCCACAGTGCATGGCTCATGACCACCTCTTATTTACTTGTCTTTTTTAATGAATCACTGTGAGATAGTTACAAGCATTCATGTTTGGATTACAATCACACAATGATCAAGCACCCATCCCTCCACCAGTGCACATTCCCCACCACCAATATCCCCAGTATACCCCCCTTTCTCACCCTCCCCTTGCCTCCATGGCAGACATTATTCCCCATAATCTCTCTCTGCCTTTGGGGCATTATGGTTTGCAATACAAACACCGAGAGGCCATCATGCTTTTATCTACTTTCTGCACACATCTCCCATCCCAACCGATTCCTCCAGCCATTATTTTCTTAGTAATCCCTTCTTTATTTCAGCTGCCTTCTCCCCTTTGCTCAGAGGCAGGCTTCCAGCTATGGAGCAATCTACCTGTCCCATGTATCTACTATCCTTAGGTGTCAGCTTCATGTTATGTTGTTTTATACTCCACAAATAAGTGCAGTTCTTCTATGTCTGTCCCTCTCTTTCTGACTCATTTCACTTAGCATGATACTCTCCATGTCTATCCATTTATAAGCAAAGTTCATGACTTCATCTCTCCTGACAGCTGTATAATATTCCATTGTGTAGATGTACCAAAGCTTCTTTAACCAGTCATCTGTTCTAGGGCACTTGGGTTGTTTCCAGATTTTGGCAATTGTGAACTGTGCTGCAATGAACATATAGGTACAGATGTCATTTCTACTGTGCTTTTTTGCATCCTCAGGATATATCCCCAGAAGTGGTATTGTGGGGTCATATGGAAGCTCAATTTCTAGTTTTTGAAGGACTGTCCATATTGTTTTCCAGAAAGGCTGGACTAGTGGGCATTCCCACCAACAGTGAAAGAGTGTCCCTTTTCCCCCACATCCACGCCAGCAGTGGTTGCTTTTGTTCTTTTGAATGTGTGCCATTCTCTGTGGTGTGAGATGACATCTCACTGTTGTTTTGATTTGCATCTCCCTGATATGGCCACCTCTTAAAGGCACCACCATCCCTTCACAGAGCACACCACAGCGGCCTTTATCCTTCTCTGCCAAGAGGTGAGGAGTTTGCATGGAGAGATGTGGGAAACATTACAGAAGAGACCATCCAAATGGTGTTATTTCTGTTCTCCAATCCACAAAGTGGAAGCAAGAGCAGGAGTTATCCCCAGTTAGGCTTTTTAACATTTGGGCTGACCTATCCATCCATTTGTCTGTCCACCCATCCGTGACCACAAATGTATTTCTTCATTATGCTGGGCACTGAGGAAACAGAAAGGACTCAGTCCCGATATAGGCCTGGCCTTGGCGATGCCCTTCTGAAACATACTGTTATGCCCTCGTCTTATTTTCTTGTTCTTAAGAGAAAACACACACAATGAAAATGGTATGTATTTATTGCATCATTTTACTGACTACAACGCCAGACTTATAATGAATATAAGTATAAAAATAACCAAATCCTTACAAATAATACTTTGCTGCTACAGTACTGAATAATTAGTGGAGGTTGCAATTATGGTACAACTTTAAATAACATCCTCATAATAGATTAAACACAACCTGGGGCTAAGATTTGTAAAGAGAAGTCTGGGCAATATGTGAAAACTAAAAAAAGTTCATTACCTCAACTACATGCTTCATTTACTGTAAATCTAGCAACACAAGCATCAACAAAGCTCAGCAACCCATGAAACAGGCTGGGCTGCCTAGGAAGGGCGGCACTAGGGCTAGTTTCCCAGTCCCTCCTACGCAGCACCATCCTCCTCACCCAAGTCTCTACATAAGATGTGTCCAAAGAGGAATAAAACCAGAATCTACCCAGAAAATTCCTTAAACTTCCTCTTTATAGCAGTGGCAATCAGCCTGTCGCTAGCTCTAAGCCATCCACTTGGGTGGTTTCACAGGCATTTCTGAGTGTCCACCAGGCAGGATGGGTTGTAACAGGCTTGAAAAAGTTCTTCAGCAGAACAGATGAACTGGCACTTCGAGGATTTTGCTATTTTAGCTACCTTCCTTTTCTGGGGGACTCAAGAGAAGACAAAGAGAAGATCTACTCAAAAGCAAAGCTGAAACCCAACAAAACAGTATCTGTTTTCCAAACACTCGGAATGACACTTTGTCCAGCAGAAGGACATGGAATTTTTTTTCTAATTCCCACCAAGGTTTCCACAGAGAAAAAAAACACACCTCTGACACGGTTATGTTTAAATAAGATACAAAATACCAATTCTGAACTTCTTAATTTCCCTCCCTCTGAAGCAGTGCTCTTATTTCAAGGTGAGGGAAATTATCTTAAAAGGATGGGCCCAAACTTCAGGCGTGTTGGTTAAACTGAGCTGGGGGTCCTGGGCTGCCTTCGGCCAGGCCATAAGGAACAGGCCAGGCACTGCCAAAGAGGGCACGACAGATTTAAGTGGCTCCAAAACCACATGTGAGGGAATGACACTATCCCATCTGTTGTGGAAACTTTCTCATCTAAATCAATCCAAAGAAAATCAAAGACCTTTTTGTTCACAGCCATGCAATGCTGCATTGCAAAGATCAACTTGAAAGCTACATTTTCATAACTAAATAGTCACATTTTGGTTTTTAACCTTGAAGGCCATTAGCCAACTAGATTACAGGATAAATTCAATTAATTTTGGCTCTAAATGACTCAGCTGCCTCTAAAAATAAACCTTCCTCAGAAGAGGAAGTTTGGCCAACAATTATGACATTCCACTGACTCCGATACTGTCCCCCTGAATACGCTTCTACTGTGGCAGTCCTGGCCTGGCCACGGGAATGAGTGGCTTCTGAGTGGCCCTCAGAAGCATGTCTTATCATGTATTTGTCCTCAGTGCAGGTCATGCTCCTACCCTACCCCCCGCTCCTATTCCAAATGCCACGTACCAGTTTTTCTAGCTAGGCACATGCCATGATATTTGTTGTTTGGAGACACTGGGGATAGCACCCAGGGCCTCATGCATGCCAGGCATGTGCTCTACCGCTAAGCACACCCCCAGAACCTCCAGACGCACTTTCCTTCTCAATGGCCGCATGGTCCACAGAAACATATGCAACAAGCCTGACATTTTTGTGTGCTTAAGCTAGGAAAAGGGTCCCAATCCCACACCTTGAAAGCCAAGTGCTTATCCTGGCAAGGTGCCATGTCTGAGCAATGGACACGAGGCTTGGTGCCCTGCATGGAGCCAAACCATGTATGGAACCCAAGAGATACTCTCCAGGACTGTTAAACTTCCTAACTCACTCACGGGGACAAGAGGGACATATGTAAGACCCTGCGGAGCTCAGATGCACCTGCAGATGCCGCAGGTGAGAGCCTCTGCCCTGGGGTTGCCGCACTTGCCTGGGCGCTGCAGGACCCTGCACTCTGGCAGTGGGGCTGACATGGGCCCTGGGCCCAGGCTGCGGCTTGCTGGGTATGCCTTGGCCCTTGTGGCATCTGTGGAGAGAATGCGGCTGCCCTGTTGATGGACCCAGGAGGATGCCGTGGTGGGATTACCCACAAGCTAAGGAAGCCAAACTCTCCCTTCCACTGGGGTGGCCGCTACCAGCTGCCTCCCCTGCCCACACAGCCTCCAGGGTCCGGAGCTACTCATCAGCTCCCCCATGCAGGGTGCCTTTGAACAGTGGAAGCAAGAACAGACCTGACACATTCCAGTCTTCAACACCTAACAGCACATGCTTGGCACCTCCGGGACACACTTTACTTGCCTGGGGGCTTCTCCTCAAGGACGCTTTGGCGAGAGAACAACGCTTTCTTCCGTGGGAAAGATGGGTTCTGGCACTGACCAAGGAGATGACTGTCTGTGGTGGCTCACCTGTCTGCCTGCAACTTGGAGCTAGCATCCCCCCTCCCCCGCCCCACATGGCTCTGGATTCCGGGATGGGCACCAAGATCTGGCAACCTGCCTCCTTTCTGCCCCGGGGCCCTCCAGTCAGAAGCATGGCCACGGGGCAGAGGGCTGGTGGCCAGCTGGTTCCCGGGAGCGGTCCCAAACACTGTCACACCCTGCAGACATGGCCTCCTGCGCTGAAGTGCTCTGTTTAAGTTCTCAGAGGGCTCCACCTGGCTAGCGCTGCTGCCGCAGGAGGTAATGGGACCACCTCGTGGAGATCCCAGGACCCTAAGCACCCGACAAAACCCAGGCTGAAGAGCACAGAAGAGTAAGGCTGGCTCATTCTAGAGCAAATGGAACCTGAACAGGACCCCAGGCCCAAGCAGAAGGAAGCGTCTCCGAAAGCATCCCTGAGAGCGGGTCAGGATGGCCTTTCCCCTCAGGGTTCCCTTCCCGTCATTCCAGACCAGGATATGAGTCACCACAGGAACACGAAAAAGGACACTGAGCACCCCCACTCTGCCTGCACCCCCTCACAATGCTCTCCACACAGGTATAATAAAGACGTGCGGATTTAGTTCCCAATAGCAAATTCTCCCCCAGCCCTTGATGGCCAGAAACCCAGTTCTCTGAAGCTGACAGGCATCACTGCGCTGTTTCCAGAGGGAGCTGCAGAGCAGCACAGGGAGGGACGGCCGCCCAGAGAAAGGAGGTGAGTGGCTTCTGACGGGCCCGCTGCTCTGAGTGGCTGGTTCAAAGTTCCACACAGAGTCTGGATGAGGCCAATCAGGGTTGTGGCACCGTTGGGCAGGTAACCCCCATGCGCCACATCCCAGCACCCGAGCCGCTCTTCCTCAAGTTTCTGAAGCGGAGCTGGTATTTTAGGAAACGCAGCTGGTTTATTCCTCAGCTTTGGGGACAGATCGCGCTGCCACTTTTCCTTTGCTGGTGGAATACCAGCTCCAATGACAGCTTCCTCCTCTATCCCCCAAGAGCAGCCGTGGCCCCAAGGAGGAGGCCCCGTGCCCCTGAGAAGCACTTGGAGAGGAAGACTGCAGGAGTCTTCCCCAGGGCCTGTGCAGCTCACTTGCAGGCGACTCCAACAGCAGGGAAAGTAGTACTGCCCTGAGCCGGATGACACAAGGCAACTTCAGTGCAAAGGGAAATATCATCTCCAAGACAGGTGTCACCTGGACTTGCACTGTGCACGGTCCCTCACAAATGTCAGTGCCTCCTCTGGGCAGCTGGTTTGGAAACTGGAGCGAAAGGTCTAGATATTCTGAAAGATGGTACCTACGTCTCCAGAGCCGAGGGCGATGTTCATCGTCCACATCAGTTTAGAAAACATTTCTCAACACTGTTCTGACAGGGGCCCCCTTCAGACCTTGTTTCCCTCCTGTGCCCCCTATCCTACCCACTGGCCTCTTGGTCTCATGCAATGACCTCTCATCTATATGATTTTCACCTGTGTCCCCTTGGAATCTCCTGGGAGTCTTATGGCTCCCAGCTGAAAGAGTCTGGTTTAGGAACTGGGCAAGAAAGCAAAGAGCCAGTATTTTGCTTCGAATTAATCCCCAAGCTGAGGTCTATGGAAATGGCTGAGGAAAAGAGACCTTATTTTTTGAATGGCCTTGAAAAAAAAAAAATATATATATATAAGGAACTATCCCTACCCAATTTACTAAAGTGCAAACTAAGGGAAAACTGGGTCCCTGCGGTGATGCCCAATGACTTGCTCTAACCTAACTACCCACTCCTTTAGCCAGTGGCCGTGCTGTGGTCACTCACTCTCATACTGGCCCATGTACATTCACAGTAACAGCAAAGGTGCCAACGGGCAGCCTGCAGTTCCAAGTCCACAGGTTCCATCCACTGTCTCCTTCCACTGTGGTTGCTCCCTTCACATGTGTCCACTTTCCACGTGCCACTCAAAGGTGGGAGCCCGAGCTGCCAGCACATGGCACTCCCTCTGAGCAACGAGGTCCTGCAGCTCTCAGTGCAGCCGCACCCTCTTTCTTCTGCACTTAAAAATAGTCCCTTCTCCTGCTCTCATCGCTGATGAAAGATGGGTTGTACTGTCCAGGGAAAATGCAAGAATGCCGTGACCCTGGCAGTCCGGTGTAGGCCGGGTACAGTCCATTCCGTTCAAGCTCAGGATTCCTGACACTTGTGGGCTGGAGGGAGAAAAGAAAAGAGGGAAGTTAATACAACTGTTCAGTTAAAATGTAATTGTTGTTTTTTAAGAAAGCCAGGTCTAAAAGCATCAAGAACCTAGGAATCAAGGAAGAAGGTGAAGGATTTATACACTGGAAACTCTGAGTCCATTGAAAGAAATTGAAGAAGACACCAGGAAATGGAAATACAGCGCATGTTTTTGGATTGGAAAAATTAACATTGTTAAAATAGCCACATGATCCTAAGCAACACACAGATTCAACACAATCCCTACCAGAATCCCAATAGCATTCTTCAAGAACAGAGAACAAACACTACTGAAATTTGCATGGAACTGTAAAATTTCTTGACTAGACAATTCTAAGAAAAAAAGAAAATGGGAGTGATTGCATTCATTGCATTCTCAAAACATCTTTAGATTTTCATTTTTGGCAGGGAGAGGGGAGGGCCCATGGGGTCATTCCCAGCAATACTGGCTAATCAGACCAGCAGTGGTTTCCAGGACTATACCAGGTGATGCTTTAGAGGCCATAAAGTACCAGGTATGGAACCAGGGTTGGGTGCATGCACAGGATGTATTGTATCCTCACCCAGCCCCAGGTGAATGTTTTTTTTTTTGCCACACCTGGCAATGACAGGGGCTCCTGCTGACCTGGTGGGCAGTGTCCATGTCATGCAGGGGGTCAAAAACAGGTCTCCCATATACAAAGCATGCACTCCAGATCTTCGGCCCATCTCCCCAGCTTTCCATACCTGAATTTTAAATTATACTATAAAATTGCACTAATCAAAATTGCAGTATTCCGATCATATGATATTGGAATAAAAGCAGGCTTTTAAACCAATAAAAAAAAATTGACAGCCTAGGTAAAGGCCCTCCCGTTGATCGTCGATTTGCTCGAGCGGGCCCAGTAACGTCTCCATTGGAGACTTTGTTGTTACTGTGTCTGGCATATCCAATACTCTCAGTAGCTTGCCGGGCTCTCCGAGAGGGGCGGAGGAATCAAACTCGGGTCGGCCATGTTGGCCGCTTGTAAGGCGAACGCCCTACCCGCTGTGCTATCACTCCAGCCCAAACAAATCCTAAGATTTATGACAGTTATTTAATGAAAAGGAGATAGGTGCATTAGTGGAGGAAGAAAAGACTTTTCAATAGATGATGCTAGGAAAATTAGATAGCCATACACAAAATAAAATTGGATCCTGATTTTACTCCATACACAAACGTTGTTTCAAAAGGAATTAAAGATTTTGATACCCAGGTCCATAAAATACATCAAGGAAAACATAGGAAGACCTCTCCATGATATCTACCTCATTGCTATCTTCAATGATTCGACTTCCACTGTCAAAGAAAATAAAAGCAAAAATAAACAAATGGGACTACATTAAACATAAAAGTTTCTGCACACACAAAGGAAAGCTAAGGTTAAAATAAAAAGACATCCTATTAAATGAGAGAGAAATATTTGTACCCCATACATTTGACAGAAGGCCAATAACAACCCTAAGGAGAAACAGTACTGTGCTGCACCGCATGACCCTTGGCATTGCATATGGTCCCTGACCACCTCCAAAAGTGATCCCAGAGCACAGAGTCAGGAGAACAGCTGAATGTGCCCCCCCCCAAATTAAAAAAACACACAATTCCATTAAAAAATGGAAAGATGAGCAAACACTTCCTCAAACAAAGCATATAAACGACCAACAGATATAGAAAAAGGTATTCACTGTGACCATGAGGGAAATGTAAATCAAAACGGCAATGAGGTAACACCTCTAACCAGTCAGGATGGCCAATATCAAAGACACTGAAAAAAAAAACCAGAATGAACAAACAAACAAAAGATAGTGTTGGTGGGGATTTAATTCAAAAGAACCCCTCGTAGAAATATCTGGTTCAGACTCTATGAAAACTGTACAGAGAACTAAGAATAGAGCTTCCAAATGTTCCAGAAATTCTATGGAGCTAACCCAAGAGCACCAAACCATTAATTCAGGCCTGGGAGACAGGTCAAAGGACAGGAGCACATGACCTGCCCCTCTGAGGCCAGGCTGGAGCTCCAGCACCACATGGCACCCCAAGCACAGCCTCAAGAAGGCCCTCAGCACCACCAGATGTGCTCCGAACCAAACCAGCAAAAAATAATAATTCAAAAGAATATATGCATATCTACGATCATTGCAGCACTATTATATGCCAAAATCTGGGAGCCACACAACACAAATACCCAGTGGTAGAGAAGCAGGTGAGGAAATTGTAAAGTATACAATAGATATTACTCAACTCTAATTAAAGATGAAAACTTTTCTTTTGCTACTATATAGGTGGAATTAGAGGATGTCATGTCAAATGAAATCATTAAATGAAAACCATGTCAAGTGATAGTCGTCCTAAGTCAGAGGGAGGGTTAGATACCGCAAGTCTCACTAATATGTGGCCTATAAAGAAAAGCAATGGCAATGTCCAGGGAAAAGAAACACTTGGACTTTGATTATCCGACTGAAGTCACCAAACTGGGGAGGTGGTAGGGTGGAAAGGAGAGCAGAGAAGTGGCACAAAGAGACACGGGACATTGTGGAGGGTCGTCAGTATTTTGGTGGTGGTGGAGGTGAAGAACCTTTATACACCCAAAATCATAACATTACTGCAGCCATGTTACCCAACAACAATCAGAAGAAAGAAAAGAAGGATAGCTGGGTTGAGTATGTAGCTCGGCAGCAGACCACGTACCTTACCATGGAAGGCTTGATCCCTGGCATGGCAGAACACCAAGCCATGAAGTGGAATTAAGATGGACGACTTACACCTCACAGAGGATGGATTTATTTACCAAGCCCATCTCTTTAGGAAACTGGGATATCTCTGCCCATATTTAAAAATAGGATTAAAAAATTAATCAAGAATGGTATTATTAATAATTAAGCCCAATAGTTTTAGACTAAAAAGGTAAAAAGGTAAAGGCCCTCCCGTTGATCGTCGATTTGCTCGAGCGGGTCCAGTAACGTCTCCATTGGAGACTTTGTTGTTACTGTGTCTGGCATATCGAATACTCTCGGTAGCTTGCCGGGCTCTCCGAGAGGGGCTGAGGAATCGAACTCGGGTCGGCCATGTTGGCCGCTTGTAAGGCGAACGCCCTACCCGCTGTGCTATCGCTCCAGCCCAGTTTTAGACTACCATAGAAAAATACTTAGATTAACCATTATCTTGATTATGATTGATACAAATTATTATAGAATTATTATCTCAAAAAAAGCCAGTTTGGGCAGCATAGTGGCTTCAGAGCTCCACTGGCATTTAGCAGAAGGTCGTCCCTCCTGCCCAGAGAGGGGCCTGATCTTCTTGGGGCTGGAAGAGGCCCCAGGAGTGAAGCCAGTGCCCACTGGAGGATCCCACCTGAATGGCTCTCAGATTCCCACCAGATGTGCAAAAGGCCCCCAGGGAGTGTGGGGTGACTTTGAGAAAGACCAAAAGATGGAAATGCTTGCTCAGTTGAACTAAAAGCTTAAGGATATGAGTCCTTCAAAAGCCAGATGTGTGCTGGCGAGGGTCCCTGGTGAGAAACAGTTCTTTCCCTTGGGGACAGCTGTATGCCCTGGCTTCAGCTCTGCTTCCACTGGCTCCTCTGACGTGCCATATGTACAGTGACTACAGGGTCGTTGAAAGTCTTGACTTTAGCAATCTAAGGCAACACTTTAACTCCAGAAAACCTAGCTAAGTCAAGCCCTGTTCCTTGCAGTAATCACAACACCTGGGTTGGGCAGCCTGAGCAAAGACTGAGATACCTCAGAGTTAGGGCTACAGATAGTAGAGGAAGAACTTGTCTTGGGGACAGAGAAGGAAGAAAAACTCTTCTCAGAAACGGTCACGGTCATGGTCCTCCCGTAGTTCATCGATTTGCTCGAGCGGGCCCAGTAACGTCTCCATCGTGAGACTTCTTGTTACTGTGTTTGGCAATACGTCACGGGGAGCTTGCCAGGCTCTGCCGTGCGGGCGAGATACTCTCAGTACCTTGCCGGGCTCTCCAAGAGGAGCGGAGGAATCGAACTCGGGTCGGCCATGTTGGCTGCGTGCAAGGCAAACGCCCTACCGCTGTGCTATCGCTCCAGCCCTTCTCAGAAACATCCAAAGAAAATTTTTTAACCTAAGCTAAGAATGCATCTACATTTATTGTTCCCCTTATTTCTCCTAATTTTTCTTCCAGGTTAACATTTTTCAAAGATTCCATCCCCAAGACACGGCTACCTACTCTCACCACTCCTATTCAACATAGTATTGGAAGTTCTTGCCATAGCAGTTAGGCAAAAAAAAAAAAAGATATCAAGGGCATCCAGACAGGAAAGGAAGAGGTCAAGCTATCACTATTTGCAGATGACATGATATTAAGAAAATCCTAAAGACTCTACAAAAAAAGCTACTAGAAACAATAGGCTTGTATGTAAAGTGGCAGGCTACAAAACAAAAACACTTAAAAGTTCGCTGTCCTACATACAAATAATGAAAGAGAAGAAAGAAATATTTTTTAAAATCCTGTTCACAGTAGTGTCTCAGAAAATCAAACCTTGGAATCTGCTTAACTAAAGAGGCGAAGGACCTATAAAAAGAAAATTCCAAAACTACTTGAAGTAAAGGTAAAGGCCCTCCCGTTGATCGTCGATTTGCTCCAGCGGGCCCAGTAACGTCTCCATTGGAGACTTTGTTGTTACTGTGTCTGGCATATCGAATACTCTCGGTAGCTTGCCGGGCTCTCCGAGAGGGGCGGAGGAATCGAACTCGGGTCAGCCATGTTGGCCGCTTGTAAGGCAAACACCCTACCCGCTGTGCTCAAGAAATAAAAGAGAACACTAGGAAATGGAGACACATCCCATGCTCATGGATCAGGAGGATTAACATCGTCAAAATGGCAATAATCCCCAAAGCATTATGCAAATTTAATGCGGTGCCTATAAGGATACCCAAGACATTCTTCAAAAAAATAGACAAAACACTCCTAAAAGTCATATGGAACAATAAACCCCCACAAATAGCTAAAGCAATGCTTTGGGTGGCATCACCTTCCCCAATTTCAAACTGTACAACAAAGCAGTAGCAATTAAAACAACATGGTGTTGGGATAGAAACAGACCCACAGACCAATGGAATATAGTTGAATATTCTGTCACAGACTCTCAAATATATAATCACTTAATCTTTGATAAAGGAGCAAGAAATGTGAAGTGGAACAAGGGAAACCTCTTCAACAAGTGGTGCTGGGAAAACTGGACAGCTACCTGCAAAGAGATGAACCTTGACCTCTGTCTAACGCCAGGCAAAAAAGTCAGATCAAAGTGGAATAACCTCAATATTACACCTGAATTCATAAGGTATATGGAAGAAAATGTAGGCAGAACTCTCCGTGACATTAAAGCTAAAGGCATCTTTAAGGATGAAATACCACTGACCAAGTAAGTGGAAACAAACATAAACAAATCGAACTACATTAAACTAAGAAGCTTCTGCAACTCAAAAGAAACAATGACCAAAATACAGAGAAAGCCCATGGAATGAGAAAGATTGTTTACCCAATATCCATCAGATAAGGAATATCCAGGATATACAAGTCCTTAGTAGAATTGTACAAGAAAAAAACCTTCAACCCATCAAAAAATGGGGAGAAGAAATGAACAGAAACTCTCAAAAAAGAAATACAAATGGCCAAAAGGCACACGAAAAAATACTCTACATCATTAATCATCAGGGAGATTCAAATCAAAACAGCAATGAGTTATCATCTCACTCCACAGAGACTGGCACACATCAGAAAGAACAAGAACAACCAGTGCTGGCACGGATGTGGGGAGAAAGGGACTCTCTTTCATTGTTGGTAGGAATGCTGACTGGTCCAGCCTTTCTGAAAAACAATATGGGCATTCCTTAAAAAACTAGAAACTGAGCTTCCACATGACCCTGCAATACGACTTCTGAGACTACATCCAAGGGTGCAAAAAAAACACAGTAGAAATGACATCTGCACCTGTGTGTTCATTGCAGCACTGTTCACAAGAGACAGAATAGAAACAATCCGAGTGCCCAAGAACAGACGACTGAATAAAGAAACTCTGGGACATCTACACAATGGAATGCAGCTATTAGGAAAGATGAAGTCATGAAACTTGCTCATAAGTGGATGGACATGGAGAGAATCATACTACGTGAAATGAGTCAGAAAGAGAGGAACAGACATAGAATGACTGCACTCATTTGTGGAATATAAAATAACATAATATGAGATTAACACCCTAGAACAGTAGAGACAAGGACAAGGAAGATTGCTCCATGGTTGGAAGCCTGCCTCATGAGCTGGGGGAGAAGGCAGCTGGAATAGAGAAAGGATCGCTAAGTCAATGATAGTTGAAGGAATCGTTCGGGATGGGAGATGTGTGCTGAAAGTAGATAAAGCACGAAATGCAATAACCTCTCATTATCTGTATTGCAAACCATAATGACCAAAAGTAGAGAGTATGAGGGAAATTGTCTTCCATAGAGGCAGGGGGAGGGGTGTGAGTGAGGGAGGGGAGATACTGGGGACACTGGAAAATGTGCACTAGTGGAGGGATGGGCATTCGATCATTGTATGACTGAAACTCAAACATGAACGCTTTGTAACTGTATTTCACAGTGATTCATTTAAAAAACGCACACACACAAAAAAAAACCCAAAGACTCCATCCCTGCTTCCATAGCCTGAACAAACCCACCCCTCCCATTGAAAGTCTGAATCCACAATGTTAATCTCCACAGCAACCAGTGGGATTGTGGCCATTATAGGATTACTTGGTGCTATTAAGTGTCTCTGGGTCAAAGTTCCCTGTCAATACCTGTATCTCTACCAGGGCACAAGTCTGTTCAGTATCCTGCTTAGAGATCCATGTTTGTGATCGCTTTATGGCTGATATAGAAGGGTGATGTGAAATGAACTGAACAGCACACAGAATGGGGACATTCGAGTTGGGGCAGCACAAGTCAGAGGCAAGGTGATGGCCCATCTTTCCAAAGGAGGTAGTGTAGGACTAGACAGGAAACAATGCAAGCCCTGAGCACAGAATCCAAACCTTGAGAAGGGCAAGGTGAAGGTTACATTGAATGGTTCTCATAGTATCAGTTTCCATTTTCCCAGTTTTGACCTCACAACCACAGAAGATCAAGAAGAGAGGGCAAATACACAAACAAAAGTCCCAGCTCAACAACTCAAGCATCTTTCTCTTCCACTTTCTATTCCTGCCACTTAAAGGCAAGGTCAATAGTACGAGCATTATCCCTTAAGGACATGAAAGTAACATGACTCATGGAAAATACACATTGCTCAATGTCAAAACTAACCAATGCCATGCAAGCAGATGGCAAGCAGGCTGAATATTAAATCATGTAAATTAGAGGCACACACCACCATTCTCTTTAACCCTTAACTAGCCAGGGTACCAGTTTTACCACAACAAAAAGAAATTCCATTACTTCTAGGAGGAAACTGGAGCCTTGTGGAAGCCCCAGGCATGGAGATACACACCGAGTAATACACATCCGTCATCTGGAGGAGGTTTTTGGTACTTCCATTCTCGTGCATCTCGATAGCTTCTCGACCCCATTCTTGAGAGCGAGGGTTCTTGGGATATTCAGCATATGGGGACATTTGGAAATCCCCACTTTTGAAGATAAGTTTGCTTATGTCATTTTTATTCTTTCTATAAGTTAAAACAAAATTTTTTACAAGTGATGAATTTTGTTCCTGTGAAATTCAAAATTACTTGTGAGTTTCCAAATAAAATGAGGCCAAAAGTCACTGCTATATTCTTGGTAGCCACACATTGAGGGCTGTAATTGTTATTCTTGCTATTTACTTAAAACCAAAGAAAATACAGCTAGGTGAATAAATAGATGCAAAAGATCTTCCAGCTTCTGCCAAGGACAGGAATACCAGGACTCCGTGAGGGAAGAGATAATGGCCAGGGACCAAGAGTCATAAATTCACGAACACTGGAGCCAGAGACACCCAAAGTTCCCACTTTACACTTTTACTCTTCACAGAATTTACATGGAAGCTTGTCGGCTTTGCCTGGCCTTACTAAACAGGATCTCTGGAATGAGCAACTCTGGCTTGGAGCAGATTAAATGTTTCCTGGTCACATTTTGTTCCTCACAGAGGTGGGACTAGAATTGCAGTCTCTGCACTCTCTGGCCAGTGCTCTTCTACCACAGGCAGCAGCTTCCCAAGCCATCAATAGATGCTTAGTTGGCAAAACCAACCAACACTCCATTCCTTTCTATTTACTTACGAACCTATATATATTCTCATTTCAGTGGGCCAGGGGAAATCTAGAACTTCTTTGCTATTTGTGAGATTTCATTGACTGTGAATTGTTAGAATATGTGTTCTTCGCCTATCTAATGGACCAGAGAGCAGACAATTTAAATTGCATTTGCCCTGGGGAAGATTATGGAAAACTTCTTCCTTATGCTCACATTTCTATCAACTAAAATTTGTGGTCAGACATAAAATGACTCACTATTATAAAACCGCCTGTAATTAGGTGTTGCCCCTTCTTGGGAGTTGTTAATAGCCTTCCATTGTGTGCTCAATGGGGAGTGGGCATATGTCTCACACAGTGACTAACATCCATAGTGACCTTCCCTCCCCATGACCAACAGCCACCAATATGGCATTCTGACAGGCTCCTAGACACGCAGCAAATAGGCTTATGTCCCCTTGACATAAGGTTTTCTCTCTCTAGTTCCAACTCACATACCCAGAATTTTATTTCTATTCACACAATTGACCTTTGATGATTTGACAGCAATTTCATAAAAGACAGGCGGTGATCCACCCACAAAAGTGCCACTTTGGGACATGTGTTGCAGTGATGCTTAGTGGTGCCTTGGTCCACAACCATGACGTACACATGACAGTGGTCCCAGCAAACTAAACCATGTAGCATCAGTGGTAGGAAGTATTCCAGGATGTCTGCCTAGTATTAAATCACCTACTGGCTAATTTCTCAGAAAACATCCTGGAGTGATTCATCACTATTTTGAGCTAGCAGCAATAAATTCCCACAGATTCAACCGCAAACTTCTACCTTTCTCTTGTCCTCAGGAGTAAGTTCTCTGAGGCACCCCTGTGTACAAAATAAAATTAAATTTTTTTCCTTTTAATCTGTTAAATTATTAGATTAGACAAAATAACATAGTAGGATAGAAGGAAAATCTTTCCCTCTCCTACACAGACAAACTCTGTGCCAGGAGGCCTATATTCCTGACTGTGCATTTAGGGCATATTACTCTCAGCAGCCTGACTATAATCAGAAGATGTTGTAAAATGCCCTTTATGTCAATGGTTAAAAAGATAACTGCAACTCTGGTACATTCCATCCACTTGTTATGCCCAGACAAGTCCTGTCATTTATGGTCATCTATTTTTTTTAGATTTTTTATTTTATTGAATCACTGTGAGACAGAGCATTACAAAGCTGTTCATGATTGGGTCTCAGTCATACAATGTTCTAACATCCATCCCTCCATCAGCATTTATGGCCATCTAAATCAAAGATCATAACTTTTCCTTATCTAAATAAAGGGGCTGGCATAACAGGACTGCAGTTAAGGGGATTGCCTTGCATGTGGCTGACCCAAAATCTATCCCGGCACCACATATGGTCCACTGAGCCCTGCCAGGAGTGATCCCTGAACACAGAGCCAGGAGTAAGCCCTCAGAATACCAGACTGGAGAAGAGGGAGCAATTACTTCTCCATCTTTTCCAGTAGAAACTCCATTCCGCCTCTTCCAGGAAGGCTGGAGCCAAGTATCTGTTCACCCCACTGTTTTGGTGCCAGCTACCAGAAGCTGCTGAAATGTCCCAGGTAGCCACTCTCATCTTTGTTGCTCTTAACCTGTTCACTGAAAGTGCTCAAGTCAAAGTTTTTCTAGTGTATTCAGAGCTGTGCAACCATCAGTCTGTAACCTCCAACTCCCCAAACAATCCTACCCAGAGAGTAGACCCAGGTCCTTGTACAGTTCAGGCAAAATAAAAAAAAGAGTTCATATGAAGCCCGTGACTCACCGGCAACAGGTCAGGATCAAGGCGATGCCCAGGATCAGCAGAAGGCCCCCTCCTGCTGCTGCAATCACCACAGTGATGAGCTGATAGGCTACAGGCGTTGGAAAGGGGAAAGTGACTATGTGAGTGGTAACGAATGGACAACTGGACACACGGGAACGGAACCCTTCCTCACCCCACAGCTCCCAGTCAGCTGACCTGGTGCTCCAGCCTCATATAAGCCCTAACCATGGGCTGCCTTCTCTGGGGAATCAAATGCTCCTTAAAGCATTGTTGCTACCCACCATGAAGAGGCACCTCTTCCGAGAGGCCCATCTGGAATAAACATATGGCCAATGCAGACTAGGTCAGATTTCAGAGGTCTTGGCTGATTTCAATAACTGACCACTTGGGCTACTGTTCATTCTCTCCTGAGCTTTACACATCAACTCTCAATGACTTGAATTCATCACTGAAGAGTGTAGGCAACTCTTGGTTCCCACCCTTGACTCAACAAAAGCAGAACCCCGGACCCTACCCAAGACTGACCTGTGTGGCCCCTGAAATACTTCCTGTATCATTTCCAGGTATTGTAAATAATGAACTTTAATCTTTCCCCTAGTTTCTTGCTTGTTAGTACTGAGTGGCTTTCACTATATAAGGGATGTTTTCTACTGATGAATCTGTTCAGTGTATCTTCTAATAGTATGTCCTACTCACATTTTTCCCCATCACTTAATAAGGGTACCTTTTATTATGTGTAAATCATACATAATACAGTACAAGTCTGTCTGTGTTACCTACCGTAAACTTATCTTTTAAAAATAACTGAAAGTAGACTATAGACCAAACATGATTGCCACTCAATGCCTCTTTTGCAAACCACAACACCCAAAAGGAGAGAGAGAACAAAAGAGAATGCTCTGCCACAAAGGCAGGGTGGGATGGGGGGGGGATGCGGGTGGGAGGGATACTGGGACCTGTGGTGGTAGAAAATGGGCACTGGTGGAGGGATGGGTATTTGATCATTGTATAAATGAAACTCAAGCACAAAAATTTATAAGTCTACAACTGTACCTCATGGTGTTTCACTAATAAAATTTTTTAAAAAAACAATGGGAAAAAACAGTCTTTTGTAACTACTTCACATGCTTTGGTACTACTTTCAAATATTTTCTTTAATTTATTGAATAGACTAAGAATTTATGACTTGGTTCCTTATAGGTTATTCATCAAATAAAAAAAAGCCACCAACTTAAGTTAGACTGCTACAAGAAATATAACTGGTCAGTCAAGTATAGACTGAGGATTGCTGCGTGACGCCCCGTGGCATCTCCAGCACATACAATGAACTACCAGCTGTGCCAGGCACCGGTAGGTAAGCACAGGTTATACTGCGGGGAAGCTCCTCAAGACGCCTCTGGGAGCCCCCAATCCCACAGTGACTTGGCATATGGATTATCTGAGCTGAGGCCAACAAAGCCCCGAAAGCTCAGGGTAAACTTGGGCCTCCCCCTTACTGGCCAAGAAAAATAGGAACTGGAGATTTTATGAAAATAAAATGAACACCCAAATTAGGATTATTACTAGAAATGCCTCCCAGTCAGAAACTTAACTACATAGCACTGCACATAGCTGATCAGGGAACATGTACACTTCAGGCTATGAGGTCACCCTCTCCTCATCATGCCGGGCCCTCTCCTTGTTCCTTGAAGCCCAGGCCGTCAGCCCATCTTTGATCAGGATATATACCCCAACTTGCCCCACTGGCTGTGGGATCTCACTTCTCTGTAGAGCCCCCACATATATGTAATTAAATATGTTTTCTTTTTCGTCATACAAGTCTGTCTGTTAATTTGATTATTCAACTAGTTTGCAAAGAACCAAGAAGAATAGAGAAAAGTTTTCTCCTCCTTATAATATGTAATATTAAAATTTTACTTGAGTGGTTGGAGCAATAGCACAGCGGGTAGGGCGTTCGCCTTACACGCGGCCAACATGGCCATGGCCGACCCGAGTTCGATTCCTCCGCCCCTCTCGGAGAGCCCGGCAAGCTACCGAGAGTATTCGATATGCCAGACACAGTAACAACAAAGTCTCCAATGGAGACATTACTGGGCCCGCTCGAGCAAATCGACGATCAACGGGAGGGCCTTTACCCTTTACCTTGAGTGGTTTTGATGCCTGCATATTTGGGAAAAATCATATTTTAATAGTCTATTAAACATTCAGATATATTTTTTGCTATGGAGATTGAATTTAAATTATATCCTCAGGTTGAGAAGTGCAGGATGATTAAAAGGGCCAATAAAAGGATTTTTGAGATTGAGTGAAGTTGGGAACCACTTCTCTATATTTCCAGATAAAGTCAAGAAATGTACGAGAGGACAGTGAGCACTGTGAGATAAGAGCAGATACAGGTTCTATAACCATTTACCTAACCTTATTTAAATAAACAGCACAGAAGCCAATTTATTATTAAAAAAAAAAAAGATCAGTAGTAAGGAAACCAACAAAGCCACCCAAGGAAAGTGGTCACATGCCCCTCACCTCCTGTCTTCAAATTCCACTTTCAACAGAAGTGAAGACAGAGGACAACAGCTCTTGACCCTTTTGTCCTCTGTCCACACCCCTGCCAACTCCTGACCGCATCCTCATAGTAGTCGCCAATAGCTCATCTTCCCACACCCCACCTGTCTTGCCCACTCATTTCGAAAGCAAATCTGATGGTGCCATTTCCCTACTTTGAAGAGACATTCCAGTAACTCCCTCTGTTCCTTACCCAAGACCAAAGTCTTACTCCTTCTTAACCCACCACCAAGTCAAATGTTCTCGGTTCCATAAAACCACAAGTACTAACTTCAAAACTAAATGACCCCTGCCAGACGCTGTGGTCAGGGCAGTTTCTCTTTTGAAGGAGACTGAGCCAGTATAGACCAGTGTTTCCTGAACTACCTATGGTCAAGGACCCCTTTTCCTTGGTGCTTTTGAATATTACATTGATTTATTTATTTGGGTTTGGGGACCATACCCCACTGTGCTCAAAGCTTACTCCTGGCTCTGCACTCAGAAATCAATTCTGGCAGACTTGGAGGACCCTATAGGGTGCTGGAGATTGTACTTGGTTCAGCTGCATACAAGAAAAATGCCCAACCCACTGCATTATTGCTCAGGCCCCGGAATACTCCTTTTAAATAAAGAAATCCTTAGTTTCTCTTCGACAATGATTGACATTTCCACAATTTATCTCAAACAAGGGCTCTATCTTTTCTTTGTTTTCCTTGTGGTTTTAGCATGCATTGAGATAGCTGTCATTACTGTTGGCATTTCTTAGTTAGCAATAAGGAACAAAGGGAAACGTGTAGGGTGAGATTAGCAATAGTTCTAATCTCTAATCATTAAAAAATGGTTCCAGATAAAAATTCCAAGTGGACCCAAAATACATAGAAGATAATTCTCTTCTAGAAGATAAGCCTGCTCTTCCCCACCCTCTTTAAAAGAATCTATAAAGGTATTTCACCAGTCTGGGCAGCCTACAGACAGATACCACTTGCTCCAGTTTCCCTGCCCTTCCTTTTCTCTAATAACACTTCTACTGGGTATAGACTCAGGATATTCAGTAAATTCTACTATATTTAGACTGAATTTAGTGTTCAGTCCTCTGCTTTCAGTCCTGACTGCTTGAGGACAAAAACTGAGCAGGCTGGAAGGGTTTAACTGCACCAACTAACTCTGGGTCTTCACCTTTCCCAGAAGCAGTGATTGTTCCTGTTTGTGTGCTTGGTTCGGGCTGGAGCAATAGCACAGCGGGTAGGGCGTTTGCCTTGCAAGTGGCCAACATGGCCAACCTGAGTTCGATTCCTCCGCCCCTCTTGGAGAGCCCGGCAAGCTACCGAGAGTATCTCGCCTGCATGGCAAAGCCTGGCAAGCTACCCATGACATATTCGATATGCCAAACACATTAACAATTGTCACAGTGGAGACGTTACTGGGCCTGCTCAAGCAAATCTATGAACAACGAGAGGACAGTGACAGTGACAGTGTGTGCTTGGCTGAATGGAAAATACTGCACTAGATCCATTCTGGAAACTAGTTCCCCCCACCCCACTTGTCTGCTCCACCACCCACAGAGGAGGAAACAAATGATCGAAACTGGACCTGAAGCACTTTGGAGGGTCTAGCAGGGGGGCTCAGCTACTCAAACGCCTCGGCCAGCCGAGAAGGGTGTCGTCTGTGACAAAACACAAAGTCTTGGCAGCCAGAACAGCTGAATCAACCCTGAAGATCACTGAGGTGGCAGATGCCCTGGGCATGTCACTCACGTCCACCTATATCCAAACTGGATCTCTTGTTTCCTTCCCAGGACCCCAGCTAGGAGAGAGAGAGCCTTCTCTTTCAGAATCCTGAGCCATTCTGCCATCAAGTTCACCTGCAGTAAGACAGGTGATGGGCTACCATTGAGTTCTCGGGAAGTAATAAAACCAAGGTGCAGTTCATAGACATTACTGCCACTAGCCTTAAGTCTTCCAAAGCATTAAGGCAGGAACCACTCTGTGGACACAGGAGCCAAGGCTGGTAAAGCTGATGGTGCCAGCACCAGCACAGAGGTAGTGGGACCTGAGAGAAGCTTCGGGAGGATCATAAGGACATGACAGTGGACAACCGAAAGTCCAAAACTTTTCCTTTGACAATGCCATAGCAACAGACTCTGAGAGCTGCAAGTGGGCAGTTTGGAAGAAAAGCTTATAAAACCAACTTTTCAAGAGCAAGCATGGTGCTTCCCAATTCTGGGGCACCACATCTCAACTTGGGAAGTGCAATTCCTCTTTTACATTATGGGGAAAATAAAAGGAAGCGCTACCCCCTAGGGGAAAACTTGTGCATTTTCTTGAATGCAGTATTCTCTCATAACTTATAATCTTTACACCAAACTGCTTTGCTTCACTATTTGTCTCCTTACGAAATGACTTGCTTTGAGACAAGGAGATGGACTGAAGAGGAACCGGGCAGAGGTGGGGGCTGACAGTCCTCAGGAGAGAGCAACCCACTCTCCAGACGAAGCTCCAAGGCTCCCCCCAGTTGGGTGGCTAGGCTGACCGCCACACTGTGCAGATCAAGTGGGACTCCGTGCAATTGGATGACTGCTGAGTGGGGCAGATGGGATGCAAGTGCCCATGGCATACCGGTGCTCCTGCAGACTTTCTTGGTGCTTACCTGCCCAGGCATTGCCTGGCAGAGGAGAGGGTAGAAAAGACTTCAGCATATACTGCCCTCTAGAGGCTACTGTCTCTCTTCCGATTCACTTTTTAAAAGTCATCTGTGTTATGCGAGGGGAAAAGGGAGCTCAGAGAGAGAAAGGAGCACCAAATAAAGGGTGTTTGGAGGATCCTCCCAGGAGGAGAGATGCATGTTGAAAGTAGACTATGGACTGAGCATGATTGCCACTCAATACCTCTTTTGCAAACCACAACACCCAAAAGGAGAGAGAGAACAAAGGGGAATGTCCTGCCACAGAGGCAGGGTGGGATGGACGGGATGGGAGGGATACTGGGATCCGTGGTGGTGGGAAATGGGCACTGGTGGAGGGAATGGGCATTTGATCATTGTATAATTGAAATCCAAGCACAAAATTTGTAAGTCTACAACTGTACCTCATGGTGTCTCACTGATAAAAAATAAAAAATAATAAAAAAGTCATCTGTGTTGCAGGCAGAAAGATATGACAGGCCTGGTAATATGTACTGGGAAACACTGTATAGAACCTAAATCAGCCCAAGACATGAAGGCCCCTGAGAGGAAGGTCTTTCCTGAGGAGGTTTCCACGCTGAGCATGGCTGGACCTCTTGGGAGAGAATCCACCACTGAAACAAAGGCCACATTAAGAATATCAACAACTCCAATGGACTTTGGGGGCAGTTTGGGAAACTTCCTATAAACTAAGTTTGCACAGTAAAGGAAACAAATTTTTTTTTGATGTGTGAACTTTCTTACTTTCCCTATTCTGGGGAAATGGGCTGTACATCCCTACTTGGGATATGTACTTTGCTACTCTCATTTGGGAGGAAAAAATCCACATTTTCTCTTAGGCATGTTTCTCTTCCCCTCCCTTTATTTCCCAAACAAACTTGTTTCACTCTGAAATTCTTTTCTGCGAGAGAAGGTGGTGGAGCTGGAAAGCCGGATAAGATTGAGAACTTTGCTTTCCTTCCTGCAAAGAGCCATTCCTCAATCCAGGAATTCCCTGGCTCCCAGAAACTGTCAGGGATCGTTTCCCATGGCCAGGTGGCCTGACAACTGCCTGGTGGGGAAGCAGAGTCAGGTCTGGGCTGTGCAGGGGCCAGTTGGTCCGAGCAGAATTGCTAGGATCTAGGCTACTGACACCCAACGCAAAGACAGAGGGAGCAGTGATGCAGTGATGGGAGGGAGGCCCCGCATAGGCAGGGACACACGGCCTCGCGGGGAGAGGACTAGGGAGAAGGGCTTGTCCCACCTTCATCCTTTTGAAGGGTTTTCTCTATAGGAAACAGGGAGAAAAATATGGACACAACCAGAACAGAAAACAGAAACTTCTAGAAAGTTTCTACTAAGCCAGAATCTAGTAGGAGTCGAACTGCTGCCAGGAGCGCAGGTGTGCAGGGATCGAAGACCGTACACTCATCTGGGAACAGCTGGGCTGGAATGGCACGTGCCCCAGGAGGTCTGCACGGAGAAGCCGAGTTTCTCGCCTGCAAGTCACTCAACCTGTACCCCAGCCCCAGAAGGCGCTGCTGTGGCTGGCGGCAGGGGAGGGACAGGGGTGGGTGCGCAGGGCCCTGCTATGAGGCACAAAACATGGATGGCCGGGCAGGGAGGATGCAAAGGGCTGAAGCACATGCTGGCATGCAGGAAGTCCATGCCTAGATACTATGGTGCACCGGGGGGGGGGGGGGGGGGGGGGTGTGCACACACACACACACACACACACTGGGCTGAGCATTGCTGGGGAGTCCCCCCATGCCCCAAAGAAAAGCAGTGACAGCAGCCACTGCAGGGAAAGTCCTGGGGTCACGAGGGCCTGACCCCACTGCGTGGGGAGTCCCAGAGGTCACGCATGAGGCCCTGTCCCCAGAAGTCAAGAGGGCCTGTGAAACAGTCAGGGGTGAAATTCAGGTGTCAGCAATCCCCACCCAACGCCCAGGCTGTGCTGGAGGTCAGAGAAAGGCAGCAGCAGCTTCTGTGATTATTTGAACAGTCTCTATTCGTTTTATACAGCACTGAAAGTGACATTCCCACATCGCTGGCTGAGTTGACCAGCAGCAAGAGGCTAGGAGCCAGGCACGAAGAAGGTGGCTGGACGCTGCCCTCTGCTGGACACGGGGAGCAGAGGCGGGAAAGGAGGCTCGAGGTGAAAGAAGCAGCCAGGCCGGATGCACGGGGAGGTGGAAACAGGACTTCGGACTCAGAGGGCTCTGCAGCTACCTTCTTCTCTTTGGGGGTTGTGGGAGCGAGGGGAATGGACATTTCTTCTCTGGGATGCCAACTCTGTTCAGTAAAGTGAAATCTATGTGTTTCTAGAAGTCTCTTAAGTATCCTCTCACTAGTCTGCCGCGAGGGATACAGAATTCCAAGTCATCCCCCCACTCTACACGAGCAGATTTCACCATGGAACCACTGCACCCTGACTTTGAGAAATATTGTCTCATTTTTAAAAAGTGTTGACGGGCTGGAATGATCCAGTGGGTGGGGCACCTGCCTTGCACGCGCCAACCCAGGTTCTTTCCCAGCACCTCATATGGTTCCCTTGAGCCTCACCAGGACTGATCCTTAAATGCAGAGGCAGGACTAGGCTCTGAGCACCTCCAGGTGTGCCCCCCAAACAAACAACAACAACCAAAAGTATAACACAACGGGCACGTCTTTGTAAGAAAAAAGGGGAGGAAGAGTGGACCCGGGAGCAGGGCCGGGGCTCAGTGGTGCAGTGTCCACTCCAAGTCAGACCCTGCCACCGAGCTCTGAGCGGGACCCTGAAGGCCCTGCCCGGCATCACTGAAGGGCGGTGCCCTGACCCCAGGCGAGCCACAGCCGGGGTGTGAGCACAGCGTGATGATCACTCTTACCCAAGAGCAGCGACAAGGAAAGGGAGGAGTGAAAAGGCTCCTTGCTGAGCTCAGGGGAGCTTCAGGGTCTCCCTGTTTCATCTCATGACTTTGTTTATGTGCAAAGGAAGACAACGCTGTCACTAGCAGACAATCCCACAGAGGTCACACGGAAAGCCACCGGGAAAGAGAAGCCGGGTCCTGCCACACCTCTGATTTGGTGGTCTCAGAACAGGCCCTGCCAGCACACCTCATGACAGTGAGGACTGAGTATCTTCACTCACTACCTCCGCTATGGCAGAATCGCCACCAACGGTTCTGTGTGTCTGACGTGGCAGGTATATGACGTGTGGGGGAAACGCTCTCCAGTGAAGCATGTGGCTTTTGTCAAAGAACTGAGTCAGAACCCAGGCCCCGGGCATCCCCACATGCCCTCTGGGGGTAAGGTCTCTCTGGAGTCTGTCTCCAGCCCTGAGCCCCAGCTATGACTGTACCAAAGCCTGGATCCCGTCTCTTTGACTAAACTAGGACCCCAATGCCCTGCATCTGCACTTCCTCCTACTGCTTTCCTGCTTCGTGTCCACTGCTCTGCAGGCCACGAAAGCACCCCGTCCAGCCCCCTGCCCGCCACTGTCCTGCAGTGTGGCCCTCACGCATGCAGCCACCCCAGCCCTCCGCCTCCTCCACTCCCTTCCTCTTCCCATCAGTCACCACCTTGCCCAGGGACCCAGGATGCCCCAGACCTCAGTTCAACTTATTTCCTCTTCCTTCTCCCTCCTGACCTGCGAACCAAAGTCACACAGCTACCAACGTCCTTCGTTCTGAGACCACCCAGGAAGTCCCTCCCTTTCCCGGAGCCATTTCCTCTGTCCCCACCACCCTCACCGCTGGTTCATTTGCTAACAACCCGCACTGGGGACCACTCAGAAATGGGATTGTTCTCTCCAAGGAGTGCATCTCCCCTGCCTCTTGCACTGGGGACACCACTCCTCATAGCTTCCCAGACTGCACAGTAGCTCAGAGGCTGGCTCAGCGGTGAGGGCAAGGGGAGGTGACCCAGTCCCCAGTCATGAGAACTGAGATTCACATTGGTGGTAGAGAATGGGCACTGGTGGAGGGATGGGTACTCGATTATTGTATGACTGAAACATAAACGCGAAAGTTTGTAAGTTTGTAACTGTACCTCATGGTGATTCATTTAAAAATAAAATAAATAAATAAATAAATAAAAGAACTGTAATTCAGAGGAGGGAGGCAGTGGACTTACGGTTCCCACAGTTGAGACCACCAAGGCCGAATGGGCAGCTGCAAGTAAAATCAGAAACAAAACAAGAATTGGTTTCAGATCTCACAGGTATGCACTTAAGTTAGTTCTAAATCAGGGTTCTACACCAAGCTGCCAAAAATAGACTATAGACCGAACACAGTGGCCACTCAATACCTCTATTTCAAACAATACCCAAAAGGAGAGAGGAAACAAAAGAGAATGCCCTGCCACAGAGGTGGGGGGTGGGGTGGGAGGAGGAGGGAGGGCTACTGAGATCATTGGTGGTGGAGAATGGGCAGTGGTGGAGGGATGGGTAACCGATCATTGTATGACTGAAACGCAAACACAAAAGCTTGCACGTATGTAACAGTACCTCACAGTGATTCACAAATAAATAAATAAATAAATCAGAGTTCTAATAAAAGCATGAGAATGAAATAGCTTACCTCAAACAGGTTTCATTTTCAAGCCTGTAGCCATCTTCACATGCTGAAAGAGGAAAGAAAAGGCCATGAAATCCAGGGATTTCTCTCCCTTTAATTAGCCAGGAGGACAGCTAGTCAAACACCAGCAGCCTCCTCCAAAGCCACAAGAAGACGTTAGAGCCCCATACTGCAAAGAGCGTTAGGATGTTCTGTAACCCAACTCCAACATATTGCTGCTCAACTCTGCATTTGTTTTAATTTTTTTAATTTACATTTTTTTAAAAATTTATTTTCTTTTCCTTCCCTTGGTGTTCGGGCCACAGCTGGTGATACTCAGGGAGCCCTACTTACTTCTAGCTTTCTGCCAAGAGCTCACTTCCGGTGGGGTTCAGAGAGCAGTGTGAGGTAGTGGAGGATCAAACCAGGGTTGGCATGTGTGATCCGTCCTTAACCCCTATACTATGTCCTCCCCGCCCCCAATTTCTTAGACTCTCAGTTTTCCATTTATATAGAATTATATCCATTATTATCATCACCACTGTAGCTTCTTGGAAAGGTTTTAAAATTAGACTTGCAGATGGCCAAGCGCAGTGTCCAGCAACAGTGACCAGCAAATGACTGCTGGTGACTAATTACTTTCCCACAAATGCAATCTTGGTGGAGATTCTGTGCCCCTGAGGTATCACCCTTGCAGATACCCACACAGAGATGGTCTCTTAAGTATGCCAACTTAACCCACAGCTGTCTGCCCCTCTGTGGAGGTGGGGTCTGTGCTGTGTTCCAGGCCATAGACCTGGTGGTGCCTCAGTGTTTGCAGACAACTGTTCACCTTTCACTGGGCACCGGGTTTTGGACACATCTAGCTGGGCAAGAGCAGCCTGTCCTGACCACAGCATCCTAGAAGAGCAGGGGAGGGGCAGTGGCCATCATTTCCCTATCGGGGCTTCCCAAATTTAGCAGATCGGACACATCCGACACTGATAAGCTGATAAAATGCTGCGGATTATCATACAAACTGGGATAGAAGCAGAGATACAAAATCACCCCCAGAGAAAAGCTAAGGCTACAAAGAAGGGTCCAGAGCTGATTCCTGGTCAACATGTGCTATGCACCTCACCGAAGCGCAGGGAGGAGCATCCCCCTCCCAGGACAGACAGCAAACAGGCCCCCGCAAGGCCAGGGTGGGAGCAGAGAGCCATCCCACGTGTGTCCCATCTGTCCAGGATTAATGATGCCAAGGAGACATGCTCAGTCTTACTCTTCTGCTCTGGGTGTGATGTTCCGACTCTCAGAACCTGAGGGTGGGTCTCCAATCCGACCCTGGAGTGTCTCTAGGACCCACTGCCTGAGGTCCCCACACACCGCCAGCTAAGCAACACAAGGGCCAGCTATCCCCAGCAGCCTGGGGCACCCACTGTGGTTGGGAGCATGGGAGCACTTCTGACAAGGACACCCTGGGGCCTGGAAACATGGGGGTTCTCCTGTTATTTGGGGGTCCTTGCCTCTTTCCAAATCTTCTTTCTCTCCTTGTATTGGTGTCCAGAAAGCCCAGTGCGTGAATGGGGGCTCCCTCCAGCAAACAGGAGGACCTTCTAGAATGACACTTGGGCTTTATTTCTGGCATCATTCAAGCCATCTCTAACCTGACTCACCTTCTGAATTCCATCTTATTTTGTACAAGACTTTTGTTTGCTTGCTTTGCAAGGAGGCAAAGCCAGGGGTCCCTCCTGGCAACTCTTGGCCAACCACGGGGGGTAGTTCCACGGAGAAACAGAGGGGGTGCCACTCAGAGCCTGCAGCGCCCCACCATGCCCAGGCCTCCGGAGACCTTGCAGCAGGGGATCCAGCCTGGTTGGCATGCAAGGAGAGCCCTGCTCTATGCCTCTGACCCTCTGCATGGATTTTTAAGTATTTCAAGTTTTTTTTTTTGCCACAGGTCAAAACCAACTATTTTTGACTGATTGAATGACATTTAGGGAAGGAGGACCAAGGTCCCTCTCCCAAATCCCGCTGAAAGCCCTGAGACCTGAGCAGGGCTGGCACTGACCGCACCTGTCCTGGGGCGACCACAGGGTCACTGAGCCAGGGAGCTGGGCCCTGTCAGTGTGGACCTGAGCTCTCCGATGACTCATCCCCAGCCACTTTGGCTGAGCTGGCAGGCTGATGTCACAGCGGCTGTTGTATTCTGAATATTCTTTCCTGGAAATGTTTTCACATCAAATCTACCCACCCAGCCTGCGTGAGCTGAGAGCGAACTGGCACCCCGTGGCCGCCATCCGGTAGACATCGCGTCCTGCTGTGTCTGCATGCTCGGTGAGCGTCCCTCGGCCCAGAAGGGATATGCTCCCTGAGGCACGGTTTAGTCACTGTCAGAGACAAGGGCCCCAGGACAGTTTCTCCTGGAGGGGAACCGCTGAGGGCCTTGCATCCAGCGCCTCACACCCCCACCTATGAGGGGACCGACTGCCTCGTGGAAGCCAAGCGACCTGGGGGCAGCTCGCCAGAAACCCCAGCTGGGCATCCCCTTGATGAAAAAGAACACGTACACGCTCAAGCCTTTAAACAAATAAGCATCAGGGCACTGGAGAGACAGAACAGGGGTGAAGTGCTTGCCCTGCAGTGGGCTGACTCCAGCTACCCTCCATCACAGAGGGTCTTCTAAACCCTAAGCAGTCCCAGGTAGGACACCTGAACACAAGCCAGGAGTAAGCCCTGAGCACTGCTCCCCCCAAAAAAAAATCAGGAGTAGAACCTTAAGACTCGAGTGTCCTCTTGCCAGGAAGTAAATCAGACCCCCTAATCTTGTCTTCTTGTGACTGGGCCCGTCATCCAACACTCCCCTGTTAAGCATAATCTAGACCCAAGTCTCACTCACAGGCTGGCAAGGGAGAGGGAGGTGGGGAGTGGTGCCCTCTCGGCTGCCTGCTGGGCAGCAGGAGGTCAAGATGTCCTTGGAAGGGCGTCTGCTCCCCATTTCCAGGAGCCTCTGTCACAGTGAACACCCGGGACTGGAGCAATAGTACAGTGGGTAGGGCTTTTGCCTGCACGCGGCCAGCCCAGGTTTGATCCCCGGCATCCCAGATGGTCCCCAGCTAGACAGTGGGTGAAGAATGGTCAAACAGGAGTAACCCTTGAGCATCGATGGGGGAGGCCTAAAAACAAAAGCAAACAACGTGAACCCACAGAAAAGACCTGCTGAATGAAGCACAGGAGGTGCGTGTGTGCAGAGAGCAATGCAGATTTCTCCTGGAGGGCGAAGTGGCAGAGATTCAGGAGGCCCGCACCTATGCACCTCAGTCTGATTTGTATGGGAACTGGCCACTGACTCCAGGTGTCCATAAGGAGACTCCTTTTCACTACTGGAGTCTAGCACAGACGGCCAGGAGATGTCACTGTTGCCCCATCAGAACCAGCCACCAGCACTGCAGTCCTAGGAGCTCTGGGATCCACAGGCTTGGAGGATGCAAATCTAATGGCTGGGGGATGGGGGGGGTGGAGGAAAGGGGGGAGTGAGGCCTTGGGGCCTTGGCAGTAAGGGGATGGGATGCCTGAGGCTGCGTCTGGGGCCTCCCTTGGTAAACATGAGGCTGCTGGTGTCGGTCTGTGCCACTGCATCTGGACAATCTCTGATGACCCTGGCTAAAGCTGGTCTCTAGAGGGACAGCTAGACAGTGGGTAAAGGATGGCCAAACATGATGGCCCCGCAGCATCTCATTGCAAACCATAATGCCCCAAAGCAGAAAGTAAGAATGAAGGTGCCTGCCACAGAGGCAGGAGGGGAATGGGGGAGGGATACTGGGGGCATTGGTGGTGGGAAATGTACTGGTGGAGGGATGAGTGTTGTTGGAACATTATATGACTGAAACCTCATCATGAGAGATTTGTAACCGCATATCTTTAGGGGATTCAATATATAACAACTAAAAAATAAAATTAAAATAAAGGGACAGCTATGAAATCACTGGCTCAGAAACAGGGAGGGGCTGAGATAGAGCTAAGTACAGGCTTTGCATGCATCCCTGATCACTGGGCACAGAGCTGGGGGTGGCTCTGAGCACTGCTAGGTTTGTCCCCAAAACCGAACCGAAATAAGAAGTGAAGGGGTATGGCTGATGCCAGCAGGAAGCCGAGGAGGCATGGCCTTCCGGGGGATACCACACATGGGACACCTCTCCCGGGCCCAAACACATGCCCACTGTGCCTTTCCACGCCTCTCCAGCCCCCAGCAATCAGCAGAGGACACAGCCACTCACGTGGGCGTAGGGCCCTGGCACTAAACCAGGAGAAGAGACAGAATTAGGAGGTATCATGCCGTCATATGAGAGCAACGATCTGGGCCAGTGCAGAGCCCCTGGGGAAGCTGTCAGGCACCGCTCTGATCTGGACTTTAGCCTCCCCTGAGGAGCCTGTCCTAGGCGGGAAAGTCCTGGCAGAAGCTAGGGACAGGCCACCTCTGTTCGTAGAGGAGCTGTCCTCAGGCGCCCGGATACCTGCCACCAGCAGGTGCTGATGGGGCAAGCTGCAGGCAGCTTTCCCAGAAGGTACTCATTCTTCTGGTGACCACAAACTGCAAGAATGATTTTCACATGCTGTGGGTGCACTGTGCCTGGCTGTGTGTCACTTTTTTTTCTTCTCTTGGCTTTTGGGCCATATCCAACTTCCGCCTGGCTTTGTGCTCAGGGGACCCTATGTGCTATCAGGGATAGCACAGGACTGTCTAGTGTAAGGCAAACACCTTGACTCCTGTCCTGTCTCTCTGGCCAGAACGGGCATTTCTTTCTTCTAAAGTAGCCAGCACTTTGGCACCGCCCTCTCTGCCTTCCTCTGATGCCGAGTGAGTCCCCAGAGTCAGCCTCCATACGTCAAGGACCCTTTAAAGCACCCAGACCCCAGGAACCTAGGTAAAATACCAGTGCAAATGCCAATGGCTTAGGAGGCCCCATCACAGATGTGGTCTTCCCCTGTGGGGGGGGGGAGGGTGGCGGTGGCTCCCAAGTGGGGCTCAGGGCCCCTGGGTCACTTCTGATGATACTCAGCCAACCAAGCTAGCAGGTCCGATGCTGGAACGGGACTAAGGTGCTGCTCAGGCTCTGCAGTGCAGGAACCCACCAGGACCACCCTGGAGGCACTCGACAGCCAATGAGGCCACACGCATGGGGCAGGGCCGGCAGCGGCTCCAGGGAGTGTGAGCCCCACCTCTCACCATGGCCTCCTTCATGTGAGACACCCCATGAAGCGCTGCCGACCTTTCCACAGAAGGAACCACGGCGAGCACAGTCACCTACCTGAGGCCACGCGACTGACTTAGGTCGCCTGAACTGCAGCTAAACACCTGGGCCTGATTCCAGGCTGATATTTCTATTTTTAAAGATTAGCAGACAGGGGGCTAGAGCGACAGCACAGTGGATAGGGCGTTTGCCTTGCACGCAGCTGACCCAGGTTCGATTCCCAGCATCCCATATGGTCTCCTGAGCACAGCCAGGGGTGATTCCTGAGTGCAGAACCAGGAGTAACCCCTGTGCATCACCGGGTGTGACCCAAAAAGCAAAAATAAATAAATAAATAAATAAATAAAAATAAAAGATTAGCAGACAACAGAATTCAAAATGAATTCCAGCATTCATTCTTCTAACTTCCACCAAAGGGAAAGAAGGAAAGACAAGGCAGAGAGGCCACAGCTCCTGCATTTGCTGTTTCTCCTTGCTGGGACAGGTGGGGCCGGCAGAGGTGGCACTGGAGACCGAGTGGCCTGCTGTGAGTGAGTGACAAGCCCACCCCTGTCTGGGAGGGCAGGGGGGCTGCGCCCAGACGTACCTCGGCAGGAGTGGTCCATCTTGTTGAACTGGAAGTAGCCCAGCTTGCATTGGCAGCGGGCGATGCCATCCAGGTCTGTGCACAGCGAGGTTTCGCGGTCACACTCCGGGGTCTTGCGCCTGCACAGGCTGCCCGCTGGAACCGAAAGACAGACGGTGATGTGATGGGTGATGCGGAGAACCCGCTCCCCCCAGTCCACGCTCAGACTCCCAGAGGCTCCAGAGCCAAGTCGGCCGGGCAGTGCCCTGCAGTTCCCAGCCCATACCATTGCACCCCCGCGCTGACTCAGTGTGAGCTCCCCACAGCCTGGCCCCACCGAGCACACCCCCACCACCCTGCCTGGGGGAAACACCCACTCAGAAGCCAAGGCAGCAACCCAGCTGAGTATACTGCGGGCTAGCTGGTGTCCTCAGGGGATCTGCAGGGGCGCGGGGTCCCCTGCTCTGGCTGGGGCATGTTTGCCGCCTGGGAAGAAGGGGGGAAAAGCCTGCTTCTGGAGGGCAGGGTGTCCCTGCAGGGCCGGGTCCCCACCACGTTCCCAGGGGCAGCCCTCCCACAGCCCCGAGAACCCCCACGCTGCAGTCAGAGCCCCTCCAAGGACGGCCGGCAGAGGCAGCAGCTCTGGACGGCCTTGGCTGCTCTCCTGGTGTCTGGCTTGGTGCGGCCCTGGGCGCAGGAGCCAGGCTCAGCTCACAGGGATGGCGAGAAATCTCTCACAGCAGGGGCACACTCAGGGACGAGGAGAAAGCTCTCACAGTGGGGGCACACGGCCCTCCCTGGGACTATAGCAGCAACGTGGAAGAGGTACCCAAGGGAGGGGCACAAAAACGCAGAACCAAGTGACTGAGAAGTCACCCTTACTTTGGTCTTGGTGTTTTCTTTTTGATTTGGGGTGGTTCTCAGGTCTTACTCCTGGCTCTGTGCTCAGGAGTCACTCCTGGTGGGGTTTGGGTGGCCATAAGTCGTCCAGGTACTGAACCCAGTTCTGCCATGTGCAAGGCAAGTGCCTTAACCCCTGGTCTATCTCTTGGGTCCTGGAAGTTACTTACTTACACCAGAGCATGGCGCCAAGCGAGATGGCTGCGGCTGCTTGCTGGGCCAGGAGGCGAGAGTAAGGAGCCCAGGGGAGGGAGCTACAGGCCAGGGGCACACTGGACAGACAGCCCTCCCTCGCCCCCCACCCCTTGCACCCTGCTGCCTCCAGGAAGACACCAGCTCCTTCAGAAACCAGGAGAAGCTCTTTTGGTGGAAGCTGCTTGATGTTGGAGGCACTCCCTGGTGCTCTGGGGCCATAAGGGCTGCGCCAGCCACGCCTGGAAGGGCCTGGGGTACAGAGATCAGACCTGTGCATGTAGGGCAGGCCCTCTACCACCCGACCCCCCGCCTGGACCCAGGTAGCATTCTTGACTCTGCAAAACTGGCCCTGCCAGGCAGGTGCTGGCGAGCTGAGCTGAGAGCAGGGCTGGGTGGTCCACACGGGAATCCCCAGTTCTGAGCATCTCAGCCAGGGAGGGGAGGGGAGCTGCTCCCAGGGAGGTAAGCTTAGGACACACCTGTACTTCCCTGCACTGAGTTTCCTGTCTTTATTGGGGGCTGTCGGCGTGCTAAATCAGAAGCTTATTTCTGTGTGCCACAGAACCACAGAATTTCCTTTGTTTATTGTGTAGCATTTGCAGTTCTGGGAGGGTGGGGAGGGGGCAGGGCAAAAGGGCCAGACCGACACTGCAAAGCTGGCACTGAAGAGGCACGAAAGTCCCGAACCCCTCATCGGAGGCTTCCTACGGCTTTTCGAGTCCTCAGCTCAGTGGAACGTGGTATCTCCAGGGCACAAGGCCGCCCCGGCTGCATTCGCTCACCGCGTCAGCAGCGGCCTCAGCTGCCTGGCCAGATTAGGTACTTTCTGAAAGCCAACGCCACATTGTCCTTCCATCCTGCCCTTTCCCCAGGACCCTCTGGGAGAAGTACGGGCCGCGCCCATGCCCCTCCCCACACCCTCCACAGAAGCAGGGCCCAGCCCCTGGCTCAGCTTGGCTCTCCTCCACACATGAAGACCGTTCCGTCAAACTCCAAGCGCTGGAGCCATGCAGAAACCCTGGCTGTGCGACTGTTCCAAATCCAAGGTTCCCAGGGTCTTTCCTGGGCATAACATCCGCCCCACGGACAATAAGAACTGAGGTCAGTAGAAGGCTGAGCGTCTCCGGGGGACCCAGGGCTGGAGTTCCTGAGACAGGGCCTGTGGGCCTTTGAAAAGCAAGGAAGGGGTATTTGGTGGGTCCACCGGGAACCGCCCTTCCAAGGGCACAGAGCTGCCTTGCCCCACCCTGCCCTACCATCAGTTTGTTGAAAAGACCCAGAGAGGCGAGCAGACCACAGACACATACCACCCCATCTGAAGGCACTGTACAACCTGGAAAGGTCTGACCCCGTTTTCATGAAGACTCGGACTGTCGCAGACTCCAAAACAGAGAAAAGAACAGGAGCAACATGCGGCACAGAGGACATTTCTGTACTTTCAGGATTCTGTGGGAGCCACACCTAGGTTTTAGGGGCGCTCATGTGTTACTGTGAGCTGAACCTAGGCAAGTGCCTTAACCCCTGTATTGTCTTTGCATACAATTGATGTTTTTTGTACTTTTGGATGTTTGTTTGATGTTTTGGTGTTTGGTGTTTTGTTTTGTTTTGGTTTGGTTTGGTTTGGTTTGGTTTGGTTTGGTTTGGTTTGGTTCAGTTTTGGGGCCACGCCTGGCAGTACTCAGGGCTTATTCCTGGCTCTGCATTCAAGGTCCTCTCCTTGCAGGGATTGGGGGGCCATACGGGAGACCAGGGATTGAACCCAGGTCAGCTGTGTGCAAGGCAAGCTGCTTACCCACTGTGCTATCTTCCAGCTCTTCAATGGGACTAATGCTGCTTGCAGGGCCTCGGAGGGGGCTCATTGTGGGGTACTTTCCTTGCATGTATACAGCCCTGAGGGGGACGAGGTACCACAAGGGAAAAAATTGTTCTAAAAAATATGACCAATGAAAGTGGGGGAATGGAGAGAGAGCACTTCAGGCAGCGGGCCTACCTTGCACCATGGCCGGCCCTCGCAGTCGAGACAGTCCCTGAGCCCTACAAGGAGTGAAACTTGAGCAGAAAGTCAGGAGGAAGCCCAGAGTACCACCATGCCTTGCCCAAAACAAAAGCCAAAGTGTCACCTTTGCAAGAAGCAAGACAGATAAGGATGCCCGTAAGCCACGGTCAGTTAGCTGGAAGGCGAGGGCAGAGAGCAGGGCCACCGCGAGCAGGCCCGGACACTGCCACGAGCAGGCCAAAGATCAGACTTGCATTCAGGCAGGGAATGCACTACTGGGGACCAACCAGTAACCGATGCAATCACATAGCCAAACTACCCCACCACCCTGCCCTCACACACAAAAAAATTCATATATAATCTCTGAGATTAAGAAGACTAAGAGACTTCCCATGGGGTGTAGCTACCAGAATGTGACAGCCCCTCCCTTTTGATTTGACTGGGTCGAGATGCAGCCTAAGGAATCCCTCATATGGACAAGGACCCAGATCCTTGGCAGATCCACCTTATTCCTCATTACCGCACCCAACGTACACTCCTGATGCCGGGTCTCCACCCTTTTCCATACGAGTAATGATAATGCCCATTTTCTTCGATATTTCTCGGCTGGGAACACCCATGTCCCCCTCATCAGTATGCACAGCTGTTCCTGAAAAACTCCTAAGTGTGTGTCTGCAGTGACGTGGCCTTAGCTTACTCGCGTGAGCACAGCTGAGAGCCAGTCCCACTCCTCTCAGAAGCTGGTCCTACGATCGGTGCCACTCAGATGTGCCTCCAGGCAGGAATCTTTCTTCCCAGTAAAGTCTCTCCTTCTTGTGGAGTTAAGTCTAATTTCTGGACAACTGAGGCATGATGGGAATCTAACAAAACAAACTCCTCAGGTGTCCAATGAGTTGGAATGCCCCCTTCCTCCCTCCATGGGGAGAACAAGCTGAGCCACTAGCAAGAGAAATAAAGTGAGCGATCACTTCAGAATCTGGCATCTTAAACTGAGGGGTGGGGGCATGCAGATGTACGATTGCAAACTGAGGTGCACAAATCTTAAAAATTTGAACATCTATAGAATTATATTTTACTGTGGAGGGGGATACCAGCAGTGCTCAGGCACTACTCATGACTTAGTGCTCAAGGATCCTCCCGGCAGCACTCAGAAACCATATGTGGTGTGGGAAATCAAACTGGGGTCGGCTGCAAGCAAGGTGACAATTTCCCCGCCTCTGCATATCTTTTTTTTTGGCTTTTGGGTCACATCTGGAGATATTCAGGGGTTACTCCTGGCTCTGCACCCAGGAATCACTCCTGGCAGTGCTCAGGAGACCACATGGATGACAGGAATTGAACCTGGGTCAGCCACATGCAAGGCAAGCGCCCTACCCTCAGAACTCTCTCTCTCTCTCTCTCTCTCTCTCTCTCTCTCTCTCTCTCTCTCTCTCTCTCTCTCGTCCCTGTATATCTATTTTATATACCGGTTACCTTTACAAAAATTCCTCAGCAAAAAGAAGCCGCAAATGGGAAACGCTGACGCAGCCCTACTTCAGAGCACTTTCAAGAACCATATATGTAACCTCGTGGAGCCTGGAGATCCAACAGTGATAACACTCCTGTTTCAGGAAACCTGCCACTGCCCCCTCCTGCCTCTAGCCCCTCCCTGCCCTCATCCCCCCTCCACCTCCCACACCCCATCACTTATTTAGGGGGCAGAGCCTTGAACCCTGGGCGTCACTCGGGAGACATGGACCCTCCCTGAGTCCCCTTCCCGGCCCCTGGCTCTCTAACTAGCCCCAGTGGTGCTGACGGCAGCTTCAACACCAAGAAGCTTATCTCCCCCCACCTCACCCCAACCCAACGACAGAACTAGCTCTGACATGCGTCAAAGCTTCAGCGTTGAGGGAATCTGACTCCCGCTCCCACTATTCGCGATGCCGGGCCCCTGAGAAGAGCACTAGGGGCCAGCAGGCACAAAGCCGCCCCTGGTAGGTCTGAGAGCCTGGCGCCAACTGCACAGCAAATGTGTAGCCTGCACGGGGTATCTGGCTGCCAGAGGAGGTTGTTTATGCCGGCCTATCTCCTCTGCTGTCCAGATTGGGTAGTGCAAGCCAGAGATCCACTGGAGATCCCAGCACAGAGTCTTCCTGTCCCAAAGACAAAAAAAACCTCCTCTCCAAGACGCCAAAGAACCTTCCACACTCAGCTCGCTGAGGCTACTCCCAGTAAGTTGTTTGGGGGTGTCACTTCTGATGGTCTTGGGGGACCCATGTGGTGCCTAGGATTGAAGCTAGGATGCCCACAAGCCAAGCATGAGCTCTATCTGTGCTACTTCTCCTGTCAGAGAGCAGAATCTTTCATAATTATTATTTTATTTCTATCATTCTCATGTGGGGGCAATACTCAGCAGCGCTTGTGGGTCACTACTAGCACAGCAGCACCAGGAGGCTGAAGGAAGGTAGACTGCATGCAAGCGCCTGCATTCCTGTACTGTCATTACCTCTACTGCTTCTGATTTCAAGCAGTGTGTATGTGTGTCTCTGTGTGTGGGGATGTGTGTCTGTGTGTCTGTGTGTCTGTGTGTGTCTTTGTGTGTCTGTGCGTGTCTTGTGTGCCTGTGTGTGTCTGTGTGTGTGTCTGTGAGTGTGTCTGTGTCTCAGTGTGTCTGTGTCTGTGTGTGTCTGCGTGTGTGTCTGTGTCTCTGTGTGTGTGTCTGTGTGTTTCTGTGTGGGTGTCTGTGTGTATCTTTGTGTGTCTCTGTGTGTCTGTGTGGGTGTGGGTATAATGTTTTCTTGACCGTGCACACACACACAAAGGTTCACAGACACCAAGACCTTTTGCAGATCACCCATTTCCCAGACAGGCTTTCCTGGGCCTGAGCCCCCCTCGTATTTCCCTCCAAGGCTCTGCCTTCCCATCGGGATGGGCGCCCTCAGGTCTTCCTCTTACCTCTAAAGAAGCGCCTCTGGGCTGCCAGGAGATGGCAGAGCTCAGCAGAGGCCCTGCAGGAGTTGGCACAGTGCTGCACCCTGTCGGCCAGGTCGAAGAGTGTGACGTTGGATGCCAGGGAGAAGGTGGTGTGCAGGGACAGGGTCACGGTACTGGACTCCCTGCAGGACAACGGGTTAGGTCAGAATTGCCCCATGCAGCCACCATATCCCGGCCCTGGGGAATGTCTCTGTCTCTGCACTGGAACTGGAGAATCGGGGATGCAGGGGAAGCCTGCAGCCTCTGCCCAGGCTCACAGCTGTCGCAGCATCAGCATCCCCAACAGGTGATCTTGTGACTTACCCTGAGGCCTGAGCCGTGGACTGGGTGTATCCAGGGACTGGTGAGAAGCACGCATTTAACTGCAGGGAAGAAGAGCACGGTCATTAACTGAGTCACACGAAGCCCATTTCCCACTTTCAGGATGAAACCTGCATCTCCCAGCCTCCCGCTGCCAGCAGGAGGCTGACCCAGATCAGGTTCCTTCTTTCCATCTGTCTGTTCCCCCACTCCCCCCACCAAAGGCCTTTCTGCTCCCGTCTGCTGTGGGGAGCCCAGAGGGAGCACACAGATAGCAAACCAATGGGGAGAGTCTTGGCAGGAAGTGACGCTCAGAACTGCACCCGGATGCTGAGCACAGGCCCAGGTCTGCTGTGACACAGGTTATCGGTCACCACGCACAGAGGCAGCAGCGTTTGGCCTCTGCTCAGGAGCGGGCCTGGCGGGAAACGCTGGGCTCAGCCCATCTTGAGACAACAGATCCAAACACGAGATGTTTTAGACTGTGGCAGGGCTTCAAATTTCAGTAGAAAACGGCTTCTTATGAACTATTCATATTACTGAAACTTTGAAGAGTATAGGGGTTCTCAGAGCAGAGAACCCCCTTGGAAAAACCATAGGCATGGCTTCGCCAGCCTCTGCCAAAGCCTGGCTGTATCCACAGAGGGAGGACATCGCATCCGTGCTGTCCCTGTGTGCACACTGGACAGCCTGAGCAAGACAGGGGAGTCTCTGAGCTCTGTACATCGGGAAGGAAGCTCCGGCATGGGCCTCCTCGCCACAGGGACCCACCGCACAACTGCAACCAGCAGTGGGGGTGACCGGCCAGAGAGTTCATGAGATGCTGCTGGGGGGGTGGGTCGAGGGGCCTGAGCGACAGCACAGCTGGTAGGCCTTGCACCAACACCAACCTACACATCCCATCTGGTCCCCCCAGCAGCACCAGGAGAGGCCCCTGAGTGCAGAGTCAGGAGAGGCCCCAGAGCAGCACCGGGTGGGCCCACACCCGGTGGCCCTCCCCAATGAAAGAATTAAACGAGCTTTGGGGCTGGAGGGAGCACAGGGCACTGGCCTGGCGTGAGGGTGACACTGCTTGGATCCCCAGCACTTCCTGGCCCCCCAGCCCAGCACGTCAGGAACAGTCCTGGAGACCCTGAGCACTGCTGGAGGAGCCCAGCTCACCTCCAGCACTGCCAGGCGGAAGCAGCACTACACCCGTGGCCTTGGACAGGACCACCAGGCTGGCCACCCCTCCCTGAACAGCCCCTGGCCTGCAGAGCACTGCTCAGGGATCTAACTGCTCTCACGGAGGTGTGGCCCTGCCTACTGGGCTAACCCACACCTGCTAAGTGAAAGCCATCTTTAGCAGCTGGAGAGGCGGTTAGAGGTTTGGGCTCTTGCCTCACACGTGGCCTATCCTGGTTCCATTACAAACACCCCATAGGGTCCCTCAAGCACTGTCCAGAGTGATCTCTGAGCACAGAGCCAAGAGGAAGCCCTGAGTACAGCCAAATATGGCCCAGACACAAACCAACAAAGATCCTTGCTTACTGGAGGCCAGGAACTGGACCAGATCCCCTGACTGGGAAGTGTAGGGTGGGCACCCTGGGGACTCTGGGGTGCCTAATTCACCCTACAGCTCCACTTTCAGAAAAAAAAATATTCACTCAGTGCCCCCCACGGGAATCTACCTTCTTTAAGTGAACAGGAACTACCCCTCCATCGCACCTGGGGCCGTGAGCATCCCCTGAATGTGCCAAGACCACAGGACTGTTCCCACACACTTGGGAATCACGGGGTCACCTGGGGCCAGCAGGAGGGCTCCAGACAGGGCCCGGGGGAGACTGGGAGCAGGGAGATCTAAATGAGAGGACATGGAGTCACTCCAAGCAGGGCCTCAGCCCAGGGGAAGGACAGCCTGACGCAAGGCCTTGGGAACCGCCTCTGCGGGCCCAGGGGTCCCTCCCTTAGCTGATCATCACCTGGATTCATTCCCTGGACTTCACCATAACCATGATGGCAACTATGCGCAGGGAGATTTGTGAGCCCGTTCAGAGGACCTCAAGGTGGTCTTGGGATTGGCAAACTCACAACTGGCATCAGGAGAAGTGAAGGTGGTTCAGGGGGCTGACTCCTGCATTCTTCCCTGCTCTGTGGGACTCAGTGTCCCCCTCCCAGCACCTGCTTGGCCTCACCCGGAAAGGTGTCCTCAAGGCATTGGAAAGACAACTGGCAAGTGCCTGCTTCAGGGGCATCCTTGACAGGTGCCAAGAAAGAGCTAAATGTCGTGTTTTACACAAATAAAGCCTACACTTCTAGAAAATCTGACAGATTTTGGCTAATCTGCTAGTTCCTACAAGACTGAACAAGTAAAACTGAAGTCAGAAGTCAACTCTTCTCTGAAACTTGTTTTAGTGGAAAATTCCAATTTTCTAAATACCAGATCTTAGAGTAGTAATCGAGATACAAAATTTATTTCTTGAGCTTCATTTGTATCTCTTTTTTACTTTCTCTCCTTTTTCTATCCTTTCCCACCCAACACACACACACACACACACACACACACACACACACACACACATAAAGAGGGAATAAAAAATCAAAGGCACTAGAACTGTGCAATAAATTCCCAGCCTGCACCATCAGGATTAACTGTTATGCTGTAACACGTGTTCTCTTTCTCTCTTAATTGCTTTGGGTGGCAGGGGGTGAGGGTGGGGGGCCAGGGGTATGGCTTCTGGCCACACCAGTGTTGCATGGGGTTTCTTCCCAGGGTTGGTCAGGATTTTCTCCTGATGGGTCTGAGGGCCAGTTGGCGCAAGGAGACCATGCAGGGCCAGGCCTGGGCCTCCCATGTCCAAAGCCCACACTCCAGCCACTCAGCTCTGGGCATGCATCCTCTGAAGGAAAATGAGAGTCTTTCTGATGGAGGCAGGTAGAGAGGGTCCTCGGTGATATGTTTTGGGGGACTGACAAAACCGAGAGATATCTAAAGAAAAGAAGCTACTTGTTGCCAGCTCCAGATCAGCCCTAAAATATCAAGGCTGGACCCTTCTGGAAACACAGGAACTGAGATCCGATAACTGAAATCTCATAAGATATCAATGATACTAGCACCCTCAAGGGAAGAAAAACTTCAGCAGGAACAAAAGGCCATAATCAGAACATAAGAGACCACAGAAAGTACAAGATCCTCTTTCTAGGAAATACCCTAGCAACAGACTCCTATCTACAGAGAAGGCCCCCGTGGAGGTAGTTTGGGAAAAACTCTATGAAAGCAACTTTGCCAGAACACACAGTATGCATCATTTCTGATTCACTGCATCCCAACTTGGTGTGTATAATTCCTTTCTTGTACTTCAGTGGCTCTCCTCCCTGAAGATGCCTACACTCTCTCATGAGTGGATTCCTCCTCCTCTCTCACACTGTAGTGAAAATTTGCTTGTGATTTTTGTTTGTATTTGGGGGCTACTCTCATCGGTGCTCAGAACGGATTCCTGGCTCTGCACTCAGGAATCATGCCTGATGGGCTCCCCAGGACCATGTGGGGTGTCAGGGATAAACCTGGGCCAGCTGCGTGCAAGGCATGTGCCCTACCCATTGTGCTATGTCCCCGGCCCTTAATGACATTTCTTTAATTCACTATTCATCTCCTAAAATTCTTTTTCGTTGGTGTAGAAACTGAATCTGGCCAAACTGGGATGAGATCAGGATGATTTTCCTCTCCCTACAAAGAGAAACCCCTCACTTCTGTCTAAGACCAGGGCTCCCTGAGAACTTGTTGGGCGGTAACTAGTTCTCACACCCTGACATTAAGTGACAACTGCCCAGGAGGGCGGGTAGGACACCAGCACCCACTCCCTGCAGGTACTCGGGTCGACTTTCATCATCCTGGCCCCCAAGGTACTTTCCCGGGAGAGGAAGGGACTCAAGCATTGGCACTGGAATCCCTCCCCCCGCTCCGCCCCCAGTGACACAGAGTCTCCCCAAGAGAAACTCACACAGCACATCAAGAGCAGAATGGAGAGCATGACCATCGCTCTCTTTCTCCTTTGCCGTCTCTAACTGGCTCAGGTCACCTCAGAGTCTCATTGGGAAGTGCACAAGGGGCGGGATGCCAGGCACGGAGAGGCCTGTGAGGACACATCTGAAGGGCACTTCTGCTGGCACCTCTGGTCGCCTATCTCTATTTGGAGACTTATGGTGTTACCTTGGACTTGACCTTCCAAAGATAACCAGGAGCATCCCAGCTCTGAATAAAATCACAGAAAACGAGAACTCTGTACCAGGAAAGAGCATGACAGAAGGCACCTTTTAGGACACTGACCGTTCTGGTGATCTCGCTCTCAACTTCAGAGAGTTCTGTGGTGGCATTCAGAAGAGTTTTCTTGATCTTCAGCTCTGCAATGAAGGTTCTCACTGGAATGAAAACAGGGACATCAGATGGCCTGACAGGGCGGCCTCTCAGGGATGTAGGTTCCTCTGACTGCATGCCCTTCACAGGACAGTCTTGGGCTTGCTGTTTTGGGGATACACCCAGTGCTAATCAGGGGTTCCTCCTGGTCTGAGTTGGGGGACGACATGGCTGGGGGTGGAACCCACTGGGCTCTCAGCCAGAGGCCACCTCCTCTCCTCCCGGGCATGGTGAGCTTCTACTGAGAGAATGGAAGGCAGAGCCTGAGGAAACCTTCAGGTGAGGTTCCAAGGAGCTGGTGTGTGTGTGTGCATGTGTGTGTGTGTGTGTGTGTGTGTGTGTGTGTGTGTGTGTGGTGCTGAGAGAAGGAGGCTTCTGGACCAGTTTTCTCGCCCTTTTCCTGACCATGGCCCCCTTCAGACTCTGTTCCTTCCTGCACCCCGCCCCACAACCTGCTGGTTGGCCCCTAAGGGACCACAGCTCCCCACACACACACTTATGCAATTTTCACCTGTGGCCCCCTTGGAATACCCTGTGGGTACTCAGCGGGCACTGTGGCCCCTGACTGAGAAACGTTAGGAATCTAAACCTTCCACATAAGAGATGCTCCCTAAAGCTGTGGCAGAGGACAATTAAGCTCCCTAAATGCCAGAATCCCAGGTGGAGGGGAGAAAAACATGGTATTAGATTTAAAAATTGCCCACTGGGGTCTCTTAAATTTTCGAGTGGGGAGCTCTTACCCTCCAGCCCTTTGGCCAACTTAACATGTCCACACATCAAGGGTGTGCCTCGTGTCATGTTCTCATCACAGGCCCCTGCACGGACCCCACTCCTCTTGCTCAGAGGAAACGCCTGATCATTGATAAAAGAGGAATCGGCACTCCCACCAGCAGTGAAGGAGAGTCCCTTTCTCCCCACATCCACGCCAACACTGGTTGCCTTTGTTCTTTTGGATGTGGGCCAGCCTCTGTGGTGTGAGATGATATCTCATTGTTGTTTGGATCTGCATCTCCCTGGTAATCATGAAAGTGTGTAAGTGTGTAATTCTACCTTGTGGTGTTTCATTAAAAAAAAAATTTAAAAAAAAAAAAAGAGAGACGTGGAGAAGTTAGCTAACTTCTCAAGATCACCCAGCTCACCGGGGCCAAAATTAACAGAGATCGTCAAGCAGACCCACTTGTCAAGTTCTTGCTTTTCTGCTCCTGCTACACCATCACTGAGGAATCAGATATTCTGAGGACAACTACAGCCAAAGGTATCAATTCCTCGAGTCCCAAGCAGTGGGGGGAGTGGGGCGGCATTTCAGAACACTGCAGAACTCAGTGATTATAAGGCACGTGATGAAAACAGTTCTGAGTCAAAATACTGTTGGTTTCAGACAGGAAAGCAGGCAGACCCATTTCCAAGCCCCATTTCACCCTAAGAGACTATTCTAGTTAACGTCAATTTGAACAGATTGGGCCTGGGGGAAATAGAACTTACAAATGGGCAAGCAACCAAACATGAGTCTAGCCTGCTTCAGATCTGGCTCGAGCTTCCTTTATATTAAATTCTCATCCTTCCCTCTGGACAGGAAAGAAATAATAATAACCCAAACACAAAACTCACGAAGCTGCTCTTTCTGAGTGAGCCTGCCTGCTGAATGAAGAAAACAACCCGCAGATGAGTCAGGAGAAATATTTAACATCTTATACTTACTGTCTAAAGCCCTTAATCCTGATTGTACATCTTTTTCGCTGGCTCTACAGTTCAGCTCCGCCAGCTGCCTGGGACTTTCTCTAGCAGCAGGGGCTCTTTGAAACATCCCTGGCCAATGAAAGCCCTGCAGCACGCTCTAATTTGCATGCTCCTCTGACGTTTATGAACAGTGAAGCTAAATGACTGGAAAAGGGGAAGATGATTGTTAACACAATAGAGCTGCCCTCCTGATCTGTGGCGCTGCAGGACCCTCCCCACCCAGAGGCTTCCGGAATAGGCCTCAGCGCCAGACCCTCTGGGAAAGGGCACCGGTCTCTTCTCAGCCTGGACAGCCCAAGTAGCCTCCACTGACCACAGAGGCCTGTCCTCCAGGCACACCCATACCCTCAGGCCTGCTGTTTCACTGCCTGCTTGGAGGCTTTTTTGTTTTGTTTTTGCTGTTTTTGGTCACACATGGCAATGTTCAGGGGTTACTACTCCTGCTCTGCACTCAGGAATAACTGGGGGTGCTCGGGGGACCTTCTGATGCTGAGGAACCAGGTAGGCCACGTACAGGGCAAACACTCTCCCCACTATGCTATTGCTCTGGCCCTTGGAGACAATCTTGATTTGACATTACACCACCGATTCGCATAGCTTAGCTAAATCTAGATACATAAATATGTTTTCTTTAAAGATCTGTAACTATGGGGCCAAAGGACAGCTCAGCAGATTGAGCACACGTTGGCACTAGGAGGCCCAAGTTCCATCTCCTGACCTGCCACCAGGACTAACACAAAAGCACAGAGCCAGAAGTAGCCCCTGAGTACTTCCAGGTGTAACCCGCAAATAAAATGCAAAAGCGAAAACCCTACAACCATTCCCTTATAGTTAAAGCTTTTCACTGTTTTCAGCTCTGGTCCAAGAGTTTAATAACAAATGTGCAACAATACCTCTACCCTCTGGAGAACAAGACCCTTAAACTTTGCTCAAACATGTGATTCGAAAAAAAATAATAAAATAAAAAAATAAAAGTTTTATTTTCTTTATCTACACAGGTTAAAATTATATAGCAATCAAAAAAACACGTGATTCAAACTTGTTTTATTGGGGAGGGGGTACCTGTCAGTGCTGTTCCCATCTCAGTGCCGAGGGGGTCCCTCCTGAGGGTGTGAGGGGATCATGCAAGGCCAGGGACCAACCCTGGGCCACCTGCCTGCAGAGCATATACCCCAGCCCTTTGCATACTCTCCCCAGTGCTATGATTTTATTTCATAGTCACAACAATCCAGAATCGGAAGCAGAGCCCGTGGTAACTGATTTTGCAGGTGAGAAGGTAAGTTCAGGGGCCCTGTGCCGTGAGTCGTGATTCAGGCTTCAATTCCTGGAACAAGTAGCCATCCATATTGCAATGAAACAAATCATGTTCATCTCATCCACCCCCATGACCCCACCCTCTTTCTCTGGGGTTCAAGCTCAGGCCTTGTCTAAACAAGGCATGTGGTTTACCACTGAGTTCCATTGCTGGAGTCCCAACTTTATTCTTAAACAGAAAACAGCTCATTTCTTATAGGATGTATCCAAAGTGGTATAGGCTACCCAGAAGTCAAGAAAATGTTAGAATAAGATTTTTAATTTTAGAATAAAATTCTTGATTTTGACTAATGTCTATGTTCTTAGAGTTTTCTTTCTCTAATGACTTAACTTATTCCTCAGATTTGTTTTCAAATATTTTGGGGAGAGCTGAGGACCAGGGTCACTCCAGGCAGTGCTGAGATGGTGTCGAGCGTCAAACGCAGGGTATTGTATGGGCAGGGCACAGCACTCAATCACCTGAGCCACCCCCAGCCCCAGCCTGTATATCAACATTTTCAAAAGGCGATTCATTATATTAGCAGAGGCCCAACCTTCTTAAGAAAATTGGTGATTCTCCCCAATCTCTGGGCAATAGGAATTCATGCAAATAACAACCTCAAAGGACACTCACAGTTGTTCTCTCAGAAAAAAAAAATATTTACTAAGCTTCCTTGTAAGGCAAACACTCAGCCGCTTTGCAACTTTTGCATATTGTGGACCACGTAGAGAGATCTGGAGGTAATTTGAATCACTTTAGCTGCCAGGGTCCTACAGCTACAATTCCTTATCCAGCTAAGTTCTTCATATATAAAAGTCTTCAACCCAAGCACTGAACTTAGCACTCTGCCAAGGGACCTTACTCCACTTGTGAGAAAGTGCTTCTGACCAGCACATTGCTGTGTGACAGGCAGCAGTCGGGGCCGGAAACCAGGCCTCCCTCCAAGCAGTGGCCTAAGCCAACATCTGAGCTGTGACCTGATCTGTGGCCTAAACTATGGCCTAAGCCGTGATCTAAGCTATGAGCTACACTGTGGCCTAAGCTGTGGTCTAAGCCGTGGCATAAGCCGTGGCCTAAGCCCTGTTCTGAGCCATATTCTAAGGCGTGGCCTAAGCCATAGTCTAAGCCATGGGCTAAGAGGGCAGCCATACAGAGCCTCGTCAGGCCGTGCTTTCACTTGGGGATTTTGCTTGTTTCGTAATCTGTCAAATGCAGGGTATGTCTAAAATGAACTCGCTTTGTGACTCTGTCCAATTAGGAGGTGAAATACAACAAACTGACTGGTACGACCCATAGCAGTGGCTTTGTGCCAAAGATCTCCCTGTGGAAAGAACACGGCGATCACTTGAAGATGAAAACGCTCAGTAAATGTGGTATGTAATCAGAGGTTTCTTTCCTTTTATTTCTCCCTCTTGAAACTTTTTTTTTAACAATGTGGTTAAAATATCTGTGGATATGTCTTTTTTTCCTGACTGAAGGGTGAAATGATTAAGTACAAAAATGTTGTATGTAAAATGGTGGCAGATGTATATAGTCATTAAGATGTTTGTATATTACTTTTCCTAACATGGAAAACATGTCTAAGAGATACAAAAAGTCTGTATAAATATCATCTAATTAGGGTTGGAAAGACAGTACGGGGTAAGGCACCGGCATTGCATGTGACCAACCAGGTTCTATTCCCAGGATTCTATATGGTCCCCTGAGCACAGAGTCAGGAGTAAGCTCTCACCACAGCCTCAAAAACAATCAAACAAAGAAACAATTTCAGATTTCACTATATAGAAATAAAAAATACAGCAAATAAAGTTTATATGTCTGAGAGGTCAATTTTGAATACCAATTTTGATTAGGGGGAAAACCAAAAAGATTCCAAGACAGACTAAAACTAAGGACTGTTTCCCTTACCCAAATTGCATATTCCTTTTTCCAACTGGTACCCAATTGGGCATTTGCAGATAAAGGATCCCTGAGTATTGTTGCACACAGCCAGGGGCGGGCATGGGTTCGAGAGGCATTCGTTCACATCTGCAGAGGAGAGAAAACAGGTGGTGCTGAATAAAATTCTAGCAGAGAACAAAATCATCTAGTACCACATTTGCTTTTGAAGACCAGATGGCGCTAGGCATGGCGGGATGCCAGAGAGCAGGACGGTTTCAGGTCTACAAGTGGTGACCAGTTATGGAGGCTGAGGCAGCCGTGTACACAATGCAAATACCTTAGGACAGGCAAGGTTCACTGGGGGGGGGGGGGGGGGAGGAGGGTGGAAATGACTGCCTCGAATAACTACTGGACTGTGGATTTTAATAAATCTCTGTTTTAATAATCCAAGGATTTTAATAAGCAGATGTGGGGGGAGCTTCTAGGCAGAGGCCAGGGAGGGGGGTACAGGATTTCTGGGGTGCTGATGCTGGCCCCGTGTGGCAGGAATGGAGCCAGATCACCGGGGAGCTGCCTGGCCTCGTTTTGCACAAGACATCTGGGCATGCTTCAGGGGAATGGGGAGGGTAAAGACCCTGACGCCCGCATGGGGAGGGGTCAGGCAGAGCCCTGGTGGTGACTTTCCCTCTTACCGATGCTGCAGTCGGCCCCTTGCCAGGAGGGCGAGCACACACATCGATGCCCAGGGCCAGGGGGCTCCTCCACGCATTGGCCACCATGGAGACAGGGGCTAGTGGCACAGCTGCTTGCTGAAAACGCAAATAAAGCAGGAACAAAGCAGTTAATCACACAGGGAATGTGAAGGCGGCCCTAGGAAAACATTTCATGCTCCCAGCCAATATTTGATTCCGTTTATTTCTGTTTACTTGCCCTGAAAGGCCATGCCAGGAAAACAGAGAAGTTTCCGAAGAGGTGTGGAGAAGAGGCAGGGTGGCCATGGCACATGCAGGAGGCTGTGCACATGCAGGAGGGTTAGAGCCCTGGGCCCCTGAACCCGAGACCAGGTTCAAATCCAGGCGCTGTTTACAGGTCACATGGCGCAGAGCTGGCTTGCTTCAGTGTATCGCTTCTGAGGCCCACGGGAAATCCTGCCTCTCTCAATGCCTTTTCTATATGCACGATTAGGGGTAAAGGGATCACAGCCACGCTCCTCCTTGCCACAAGACTCCCCTTCACCAAAAACCCCAAAATGGAACTGGGCCTCCACACGCCCTGTGACTGATCGCTTAGGGAAAGCGCAGCCTTGACTTGACGGAGCACTGCAGCGCCTTGCTTTACAGGACGCAGCCTGAGCCTGGCCTGACTGAACACACACAGGCCCGGAGGCCAGCTGAGCTCCCTGGTCAAAACTTTCTCTTGTTCCACATCACTAGCATGCTCATGCTCCAGTTCTATAAAAAAAATGCTCAGTCCAAGTTCCAGTCATAAAGTCAGAACAGCTGAAATCCACGTTAACTGCATCTTCTGTGAAGACGTAGGACCAGCAAGGGAAGGCAGCAGTCTAAAATCCTAACTCCAAGGGGGAATGGGGCCAAACCCAAAGGAATGTTTCCGGCTCTTTATTTACATATATGCTAAGTTATTTATTTGGGAGTGTCCCAAGCAGTGCTGAAGAGACCAGGGTCAGGGTGCTCCCTAGTTCCCTCTGGGAACCTGGCCAGCGTTCAGTGTGAAGGGCTGAGAATGCACGTATTCAGACCCCACAGTGCTGGGATACCGGGCCACCCCAGTGGGGTACAAGGACCTCGACATTAGGTGGCAATGTTCCGAGAACCACGTGGGGCTGGGGCTGGGCTGGGGTCAACCTCACGCAACATTTGTGCCTTAACCTCTCTCCAGCCCCATCTGCTACCTTATTAGGGCTAAATCTAAAATCATGGCACAAGGTTCGCTCCTGAGTCAGACTAGACACTTGGACTCTGTCCCCAACCACATGACCAGCCAGTCACGATGCTCCTGGTACCTGGTCACTGGCTCTCAGGAGGCTGCTCAGTTACGTGCCTCAGGCACAGGGATGGATTTGAGCCAGGAAACAAAGCCTTATGGGTATACAGATTTCCCAGGGAAGGATGCAGAGACCCACCCAGCAGATCCGGGGTCCCTGTGTGATGGTGGCGCTGATACTAAGGGGCACTCCGGGGCATGTGGCAGCTGGCATGTGACCCTCCAGCCCCTGCGTGGAGAGCAGCTGGCTGCTGGGAATGGCCTCCGCTATCAGCACTCCTCCGCTCCCTTCAGAAGCAGTGTCTGTGCCACCCACTCACAGGCTTTCTTCCCTGAATCTAGACAAGCAAATGTGCAAGTCTGAGGGGAGTTCTGGGTTAATGTTGCTAGTTGTGGGGTCATAACCAGCTGGGTTGGGGGGATTCCTCCAGGGCCATTCTCAGGGGTACTCAGGGTCCTGTGTGGCTCTGAGGATCAAACCCAGGGTCTGGCTCATGCGGAGACCTGTGCCCTACCACATGGGCCATGTCCCTGGCCTCAAACATAAAATCTGCAATAAGGCATCAGAAAACCTACCTACTTGTACCTTTTTTTTTTGGCCATACACAGAGGTGCTCAGGACTTATTCCTGACTTTGCACGCAGGAGTCACTCCTGGCAGTGCTCAGGGGACTATATGGAATACCCCAGTGTGCTACATGCAAAGCCAGTGCCTCACCTGGTGTGCCATCTCTCCAGCCCTGCTTCGACCACTTTTTAAAGGAGAAAGAATCCCATGTACTTCGTTTTTCTGGCACCAGCATCTTTGAGATGGAGCCCCTGGCGCCCTGGGGAAGACAGGCTCACCTACCATTATCAACTGTAACATAATCCAGGGAGGCAGTGAACTCCCCGGCCTGATGCCGATCTCTCCTGCCTCAGAAAGGGCCCCTGTGCCCTGGACTCCTGCTTCTGTCCCTGCATCGTGCTCTGCCATGGCCTGGCAGGTGCCTGTCATGCAGCAGGAGGGCTCTGCTCTGCCTTCTAGAAGAAGGCTGAAGTTCCGGCGAGAGGACAAGACCCACCGCGACACTGTTTCCTGCTGTAAGTGCTCCAACAGGAAGCACTGGGGGTCCCAAGACGGCACTGGCCGTGACCGATCCGGGCACTGCAGCTGTGCCCTCACAGTCAGCCGAGCTAGCCAGGGCACCGGCCAACTGCGACCTACCTGAGGCCGGCGACGAGGCCCCCGGAGCCTGTGTGGTGGGATGCTGGGGCTTGGGGGTCAGCAGGTCATGCGTGGAGGACTCCGAGGTGTGGGGAGCAGGAGGGGGAGACGGAGAAGGTGGTGCTGCAGTGCGCCCCCCTGTCAGGCCTGGCTCCGGGGTGGCTTCTAGGGTGGGTGTGGGCACCCCGGTCGGGAAGGCAGGTCCAGGTGTGGCCTCTGTACGCACAGGGCTCCTCTGCGTGGTGACGGGACCCTCTGTTGTGACAGGTGGCACGACAATCCCGGGGCTGGTTGGCAAGAGCTCCTCGGCCTCTGTCTGCACAGTGGTGGGGCTGGCAGCCGGGGCCACTGTGGTGGCTGCGGGGCTGGGCGTGGGGGTGAGCGGCGGTGAGGACTGAAGCGTGGTCACCACAGCAGATGCTGTCTGGGCTGACCTGAAGCTGGTAGCGGGCAGAGCTGGCTCTGTGGTCTCTGCTAAGGGTACCGGGCCAGGGATGCCAGGGGTGCTGGAAGTGGAGTCGTCCATGGCTGTAGCCTTGGGGGTCTCCGTGCGCAGAGAGCCGGGGCTGGGTGCTGCTGAGCCCCCCCGGATGACTTTCTCCAGCTCGGCCCGACTCAGGCTCTCGGGGTCTGCGGTCTGACCACTGGGGAGTGCAGTCTTGGAGGGCACCAGCATGGATGTCCGAACTGAAGTCCTGGGCAGCACTGCAGTGGTCCAGAATACGGCAGGAGGGGCAGGGGTCAACGTGCCCGGGGAAGCCGGGGTAGGGGGTGCAGAGGAGGACAGCAGAGCGGGCGCACCCGTGGCGGGGTGCCTCGGGGGGCCCGAGGGCCTGGTCGATAGCAAGGTGGGTAAGAAGGGCTGGTGGGTATGCGACACCAAGGGCGGTGACCAGGGCGCCCTCGATGAGGACGGCGGAGAAGACGGGGAACCCCCCGAGGCAGCCCTGGTGCCCAACAGAGCCAGGGTGCTGGGCACACTCGCCGTGGGAGTGGGCCGGGACGGCCGGGCTGTACCCGGCATGAGGGGCATGGTGGGCGGTCGCACAGGCACCCTGGCTGGCCAGGGGTCTCTGCTCCCTTCCGCCTGCACCCCAGAGGAGCGCGCCCCGCCTGGCTCATGCTCCGTGGAGGCCCTGTCGGGTGGCCGGGAAGCAGAGTTCTCTGTGATGGACAGCAGCGCCCGCTCCCCTTTGGTGAAGGCAGAGGAGATGTAGGTGTGGTCATCGGGCTGGGGTTCCAGGTCCAAGTCGCTCTCAGGGTCAAGGCTGACACCAGTGACTGTGAAACGGGGAAAACACCAAAGTTAGGCAAACTAAGCCAACAGGAGGCCCTGGCAGAAGCACCCAGGCACACGCGTGGTCAGCGTCCCCCCCCTGGGGCCACGCAGGCCTCTGCACAGGAAGGGTAGGAGGGGCAGGACGGCTTGCTCAGCTCCTTCCTCCAGGGAGCGAGGCTGTGGCTAAGCACGTGGGAGAGAAAGAACAAGGGGGCAGCAGGGAGGAGGGAGAAGAGCCCATGCCATGTTGACGGGATTTGGACCTTTGTGGCTTGTGATTTGGGCCACGCCAGGTGGTGCTCAGGGTCCTCTCCTGATTCTGTGCCCAGGGCCCAGGTGTGGGTTGGGGGCTCAGCTGGAGAAGGCTTTGGGCGAGGCATGCATACCCCCCTCACTATGGCACTGCTCCCTACACATCGGTCTGCCGATTGGGGGCCGGGGGCATGCCTGGGGGAGTTCAGAGGACCAGGCCAGGCTGGGGCTCGCTGGAACTGCATGCAAAGTCCACCGGGTCATTTCCTGCTCTCCCACAAACTGCTCTGATCAAAAACTCTTAAGACCCCAAATAATACGAATGATCTTTGACTGGGAAGAAGAAAGCCCTCTCGGTTTCCCATGCAGCCTGATCAGGCTGTTCTCTCCCAGGAGCGTCTTTCTCCATCGTGATGGGGTGAATCTCCTGTCCAGCATCCTGGCCGACCACCAGGCCCTGCACCTGAGTCCCTGGGGGTGGGGGGCAAGGGCTGTGGCCAGGGTAGGGGAGCCATAAAGTCCTCTCCTTAAAGGCTTGCCATTATCCAAGGACACAGAGCACAGGTCGGTGAGAGGGTCAGCCTCCCAGGACCGTTAGGACCCTCACCTCCCAGGGCAGTGGCGTTCCTGGGCTGTGGGGGCGTGGCTGCAGGGCGTCCCGGGTCCCTGGAGGTCTCGGCGTTCTGGCTGGGGAGAGATCGCAGCGTGCGCTCTCCGTTCCCAGTGGACGCAGCTGCCGTCTGCAGGTCGTGAGCGTGAGCACCTGGTGTCCCCTGGAAGGTCTCCTCCTCCACGTCAGGACTGATCCCCAAATCAGGGCTATACTCAGTGGCTACAAAAAGAGCGAAAGGCAAGTGAGTGTGGTGTTTGTGCTGGTCAAGTGGATCTCAAGAATAAGCCGTAAGGGTGATTCTGGATCCCATGAGCCAAAACTTCTCTCAGCTTTCTCAGGATCTCTATCTGAAATTCACCCCTCAGCGCCATGATGCTTGCATGTGTGTGTGTGTGTGTGTGTGTGTGTGCGCACGCAGACGTGGCATTACAAACAGTAGTAGTGTCTGCAACCTTTGCGGGGTGCTTAGCATATCTGTCCCGGTGCAGCTGCAAGTGCGCCGTGTGTCTGCATACACTCACATGTATGCTGCTTACAAACACTAAAACCTTACAGGTACTATGGGTCAGCAAATCTCGCCATACAGAGGACCCGTGTGTATCTGTGCACAGTGTGTACTTGCAAAAAAATGTGTGCAGTGGCAAAAATCCCACGGGGTGCTGTAGGTTAGTGTTATCTGTCACCTTGCAGAGCAACAACACGTGTTGTGCTATACCTGCACATGTGTGTGGTGTTTACAAAGGTCTGGATGACTGAGACCTCCTGGGGCATTCTGATTTAGTGTCTGCTCAGGGGACCTGGATTTAAGGGAAGGTCCATTACTTCAGAGATCAAGATTGATGCTGTATTTTCACTCAGGGGCGTTGGTGGTGCCTGTGGAAGTGAATGTGGGTGAGAAGCTCGAGAATCCCAGCAGACTTGCAACTTGCCATGTGTTAGTTCTCTGCCTAACAAGGGAGTGTGCCAGGGGGCTAGAACAAGGCTGATCCAAAGGCATGCTCTGAAGGAGAAAGGCTCAGGTCCCCACCCCCACCCAGCCAGTAGTGGCCCACCCAACAAAACAAGAGTAAATAAGAAATGACTGTGTCAAAAGGCAGAGGTAGGCTTGGTTTTAGTTTTTATCACCTTTTTGTTTTTATTTCACTTGGTTCGGTTTGATTTTTGGTTATGGTGCTCAGGGCTTACTTCTGGTTCTGTCCTCAGGGGACCACATGGGGTGCCTAGGATTGAACCCGGTTTGGCAGCATGCAAGGCAAGCACCCTACTGCTGTAGCACCCTCACCGTTTGTTCACCATCTTTAATGTGTGGCCTCTTGTGGCCTAAGCCCCCGCAAATAGTCCAGAAAAAATAGAGGTGAACTTAAATAAAACAAAACTGGGATACAGTAATGGAAGTTCAAGCTGGGTGATGGTGTGTAAGGATTATGTTATATCATTACCTAGCAGTGCTGTTCCGCGGCTGCTCCCAGTGGCTGCTCCCAGCTCAGGGGAGGAGTCTCTCCCCAGAGGTGCTTGGGGAACCATGTGGTGCTGGGCAAAGCATGTGCTTCAGCCCTCTGGGTCATCTCCCTGGTTATGTGCTATTCTTTGTATCATGTGCAATTATGAAAACTTTCACAATGAAATGTTTTTAAAAATGTTAAAGGGAGTAGAATGGGGTCATAAATAAATGACTTCTTTTTTGTACTAAGTTCTATACATTAAGCTTAAAGAATCTTACTTTATTAGGTTATTGTCTTAAAAAGAAAACTCCCCCATCCCCACCCACCCCCCCACACACACACACAATCATAGAAATAATGCTCCGTTGAGCCTGACTACTTCATCTGGCTCTGTGAGAAAATGTCTCTCTTCCTGGAGGTTCCTGTTCCCTGAGAGATTAGTTCTGTATCCCCATGGACAAACCACGATGGAAAACGAAACAGAGTTGAGGGGCGCGACCTTCCCGGCAGGTGCATTCCCTGACGTGTGAGCCTATGGGCAGGGCAACACAGGGGCTCCGGCAACACTGAGAGCCCAGAGCACACGGGTCTGGCCCGAGGCACTCACAGGCCCCACAGAAAGTCACCCGGGACAGGCTGAAATCTGAGTGAAATGAGCACGTGCTCGGGGGGAAGAGAAGCAGGCCCGGGGTGAGGGAGCAGAGCACGGATGCACCAACCAACACCCCGCAGGAAGGACTGCTCCAGGTTCTCAGACTGAACAGCCAAGTCAAACCCACAAACAGAAGGGCTGACCCAGAAAACGAGAGTGGAGATGTCTGTCGGGTTACGGCAGGAGGACAGCTGTGAAGATTCCCAGGACAGGAGGGAAAGCATCCCACATCTGAGACACTCAGAGGAATGGGGTGGCCTTTCACAACTATTTACCACCAGATGCCCAGAACCTCTCACACTGAAGTCACACTTCTCACAAAAAGCAGCAGAGCACGCACTGCACAGAGAAGGGGAAGGGCCATCACCCTGCACTCCTGCCCCCCATGAGAAAGCAGAGCCCCTGGAACAGAGGCTAGACATGGCGCCTTGGTCCACGAGACACATGGTTTCATCCACACCCTTCAAAATTACCCATGCTTTCTGTCCATATGTGTGTCATCCTGTCATGCTAAACACATGCTTTTCCACAGCCCGTGAGCAGGAATACATGCTAATTAGGGTTAGATATTTGATGAGGACAAGGGGGAACAGAGCTATTACTGGTGAGGCGGCAGAGTTTAAACCTGTCATAATTTTTAAAGACTAGTTAATGCTCTTCGCTTCAGTTATCACATATAGATTGCATCATGAAGGCTGATGAAAGTTGTCTTTAACAGTTGCCTAAAATAGCATTCTTTTAAAACCATCAAAAAGAAAAATTTTCTCAAAACGATAAACTGGGCCTTATCAGGATGAAATACTTTTTTATTTGTACAACAAATGATAGTACCAAGACAGTGAAAAGAGGGCTAGGGATGTGATGGGCTGTGCCTTGCACATAGGATGCCCACGGTTTCAATCCCCAGCACACACACACACACACACACACACACACACACGCACGCACACACACACACGCACATGAAAAGGAAGAAAGAAATGAAAAGACAACCCAAAAATTGAAGAAATTATTTGAAAATTATATATCTGATAAAGGAGTAGTATCCAGAATATACAAAGAATTCTTACAGCTCACTAAGCAATAAAAAACCCAATTTAAAAATAGGGGTGGTACTCAGCAGCAGAGCGTTTGAGTGAAGTCCTGGTGCCCAGAACATCAATGGCCAAACGGCAGAGCACTGGGATAAGGAGCACTACCTGACCTGGGGTGCCAGGGGCCTCAGGTGCTCTTTCCTGGCAGGAGTCTGACCCGGGGCAGAAGGCCCGGGTGGGCCCCCACACGAAAACTCACCCACACGCTCCCCGTGCAGTGCAGAGGCCTCCAAACTCTCTGAGGACGACGCAGACCAAGACCTGGCCAAGGGGTGGCTCTTGTGTGGCGCCGGGCCACTTGCTCCTGACTCTGCCACGTGTCTGGGGTCAGCGGCATTCCCAGCTCCAGGAGAGGAAGTAGAGTTTCCAGTCACATCTGTGGAGATCTTGTGGGCCCAGAACCAGTGTGCTGTGCTGTCTCCTTCCCGGGCCAAGGGCTCCGACCTGGGCTCTGTGGCAGTCTGCACCGGGAGATGCTGTGGCTGGGCACTAGAGCTGAGGGCATGCAGATGCCCGTCTGAGGCTGCAGAGATCAGAGAAAACAGGCTGTGACAGGCCCGTGAACTCAGCAGCCCTTGCCACAGCTGAGTCCTGTGACAGATGGACAGCACTACACTGCACAGGGGCCACAGGCTTGGGTGGGACAGGGACCAAGCAGGCAGTGCTCAGGGCTGACTCCTGACTCTAAGCTCAGGAAGCATTCCTGGCGGTACTCAGGGAACCACATGTGGCATTTGTGGTGCTGTGATCCTGAGTTGGCTGCACACAGGTGACTCCTGTACTGTCTCTCCAGCACAGATTTGATGCCAACTTTTGCTCCCAAAAATTAAAAAATAGATGTAACCATTATGTAAATTTTTGTAGAAAAAAATCACATGGTTACTTAAAAACAGGGTGCAATAATTACAAGGTGGTGATGATGATTTAGTGAAATATCAGAACCTGAAATATACTTGTATTCTCTAAATATTTAAAAACTCACAAACATTAGCAAGAAGGTAATACTGAAATAAAAAACTGGTAAAGGGGGTGCTTTTAAACCACTTGTGCACAATTGCAGAGTGACTTAGAGGCTTTCTTTGATTTCCACTCAACATCCCCCCAAAATAATAGTAACAGAAACTAAGTGTGATGTTAGTTAACAAATATGACAAGCCTAAATATACACTTTAGTCAGCAGCATGTTCCAGAAACAACTCTATAAACAATGATGATTTTAACTTTTTAATAATAAAAAGTCAACTCTAAGGACTACCAAAGACCAGGAACCTGGGGATTATGGAAGCCCCAACATAGCTGCATGTTTGACTTGCAAGATAATCCATCCATAACTGAAAACACTTAACTTGTTGATTTCTTTTTGGTGAAGCAGGAAAGTTTTTATGGAAACTTATTTAGAAAAATGTGAGGGGAGAGAAAGAGAGTGCATGTTTAAGAGAGAACATAGGTTTCTCCAGAGTCTGAAGCCATTTTATTTTATTTATTTTTTATTTATTTTTACCATTGTGGTTTTGGGGACACAACCAGCAATGCTGAGGGGTTACTCCTGGCTCTGCACTCAGGAATCACTCCTGGTGGTGCACAAGAGACCATATGGGATATCAGAGATTGAATTCAGGTTGGCCACGTGCAAGGCAAGTGCTTTACTCTCTGTTCCAGTGTATCTCCCAGGCCCTGGAGTCACCCTGAAGAGCAAGCCAGCTCTCACCCTTAGGACAAGCAATGGAATGACAGACAGAGCCACTCTCTTCCCCCGGGAGCCGGCCGTGCAGTCCCACACTCACTGCCCAGACCCTCTGAACCAGCGTTCCCTTCTCTCTCCCCGAAAGCAGCTGGAACAACACACCCGCAAGCTCCATGAGCAGGTCGGAAATAAAGCCCACTCATGTGCAAGGGTGGCTGGTGGCGAGGGCAGGGGGAAGCGTGCGAGTACTTTGGAGACAGCAGCCCCGTCATCCTAAGAGGCCCTGCAGTCATTTGCGAATGTTTCTGACCGCTTGTTTGCTGCTCTCAGCCACTCCAGGTGAGGCA